ACTTGGCTAAAAATCCTGACAAACAGGACATTCTTAGAAAAGAAATTCTTGAAGCTGTTGGAGAATCCGGATTTGTGGATGCTAAAGCTCTGTCAAAGATGTCCTACCTAAAGCATTGTCTAAAGGAGTCTTTCAGGTAGATCATTGTTGTATTGAACGTCTTCTAGCTCACTGTCAAGTTGCCATGGAAAGTTCTTGTTTATTGTCTATCATCAAAGAAAAACAGGCTAACTTATATGTCGATACTTTTAAAGTTTTCTTTTTTTCCATAGACTGAACAACCCAATGGCCACGGGTACTTTGAGAATTCTGCCGAAAGATATCGTAGCTAGTGGCTATAACATTCCAGCTGGGGTAATTATATTTTCCTTTAATTTAAAAAACATTCTTCTTTATCATAGATAAATAATTCATTCTCGATAGAAAGGATGCGTTATAGCATATTTTTAAAACATTAAAACAAATTTTAAAAATATCAAAATAAAACCCGATCAATACATTAATTTTTAATTTATAAAAAATGTGAGTCTCTCAAAAGACTCAACCATCCCTACCCCATCACTGCCACCCACAATAAAGTTTTCAACTGCTCTGTTTTGTTTTTTGCCACTGATTTACGTCTTACTTCTGTACACTATTATTGAATCAATTTCTCACAGACTAGAATAATTATGTTTTTTATTGTATTAAATTTTTTTTTAAAAAGACGACAGTATTGATGAGCAACCCAAGAGCCGCCAAAAAATGCTTTGAAGACCCAGACAAGTTTATCCCAGAGAGATGGATGAGAGCAGACGATGGTCGTAAACAGGACAACACAAACAGCATGGCGGTTTTACCGTTTGGTCACGGGCCGCGGAATTGTATCGGTAGACGTTTTGCTGTTCAGGAGATTTATCTGGCCACGTCTAAAGTGAGGTTTTATTATCTAATAATAATTAAAATCTTCATTCAAAAAGCGTATAAGAGTTTTGATTATGTTTCTATGTTTATTTGTGTACAGGTTCTCCAGAAGCTAAAGATAGAATTAGAACCCGAATCCTGGAATACAGAATTTATCTACACGACATTCATTGACACGGAGAAACCAATCAGATTTAAGTTTACAAAGATTCAGTAGATACATTTGGAATCATTTTAAAGTGGTATCACCTGAAACTTTGAAATAAAGAAGTTGTTTGAAATAACTTAGGAAAGCAGTATATCTAAAAACGTTTATAATTTTAAATAGTGTTATTAATACATTAAAAAATAACCCGGGAGTGATCTCCCCTAAACTTTCTCGAATATTCTTATATAAAATAACAGGGGATGGGAACTCGGGCTATAGACATGATTTTTAATCCATTTTAAATACTTAAAATTTTAAAAAAATTCATAAAAAAACGTTTTAATTACAAGCTTTTATGTAATGATGCACTAAAAAGTAGAAAATAAATTATAGACTACTATTTAAATTACTATAAAGAAAAGCGTGGGTCACTTTAGTATCTATTGGATACCTTTACTAATGTTAAGGAAGACACCCACGCTTTTCTTTATAGTTATTTAAATAGTAGTCTATAATTTATTTTCTACTTTTTAGTGCATCATTACATAAAAGCTTGTAATTAAAACGTTTTTTATGAATTTTTTTTCAGTACTTTACATGTTTTATTTACAATAGAGTTACATGACTAAAAACCATTGCGCGCCTACTGAACATCACGTTCAGTAGGCGCGCAATGGTTTTTGAACGCAGCCATTACGTGATGGCGCTGCTATTGAAGGTGATGACGCGTGTGGTGTGGTCGGCTAGACATGCCTACTAATTCAGTCCAAATTTTAATTAATTCATAAAAAATTAATTAGGCATCCAATTAAGTCAAATTTAGTTTCAGAATGCATTGTCTTCATGTCTTGACCCACGTGCCAACTGTGAATCGTATCGGTCAAGTAGAAGTTTCCGAATTTTCACTCCTGCGTTTCCATCTAGACAGACTGTCGACAGACTGTCGACAGAGGAAGTGAGTTAAATAAAAGCTTGTAAAAAAAATTCATAAAAAACGTTTTAATAACAAGCTTTTATGTAACAATGAACTAAAAAGTAGAAAATAAATTATAGACTACTATTTAAATAACTATAAAGAAAAGCGTGGGTCACTTTAGTATCTATTGGCTACCTTTACTAATGTTAAGGAAGACACCCACGCTTTTCTTTATAGTTATTTAAATAGTAGTCTATAATTTATTTTCTACTTTTTAGTTCATTGTTACATAAAAGCTTGTTATTAAAACGTTTTTTATGAATTTTTTTTTCAGTACTTTACATGTTTTATTTACAATAGAGTTACATGACTAAAAACCATTGCGCGCCTACTGAACATCACGTTCAGTAGGCGCGCAATGGTTTTTGAACGCATTGAACGTGATGGCGCAGCTATTGAAGGTGATGACGCGTGTGGTGTGGTTGGCTAGACATGCCTACTAATTCAGTCCAAATTTTTATTAATTCATAAAAAATTAATTAGGCATCCAATTAAGTCAAATTTAGTTTCAGATTGCATTGTCTTCATGTCTTGACCCACGTGCCAACTGTGAATCGTATCGGTCAAGTAGAACTGTCCGAATTTTCACTCCTGCGTTTCCGTCTAGACAGACTGACGACTGACGAGGAAGTGAGTTAAATAAAAGCTTGTAAAAACAGAATAAAATCTCGTAGACAAATTAATTGCACACCAAGTGAACGCCAAATAAAAAAGCGCTTAATAGTGCGCAATATTATTAGTACTTTTAAAATTTACATTAGTTTTTTGAGAAATCGGAAGTAGCGTAAAGTACTACTTTCAGTCAACAGAAATTACTCAAAATTTAACAGAATGTAGAGAATTAGATCTTTTACATACATGTGAAATTTCATTTATCTATCTGAAATAGTACTCAAGTTAACGGCTTTTGAAAAATTCAAAGTAGGAAAAGTACCACTTCCGGTTATCGGAAATCGCTCAAAAGTTGATACGGATCTACGATTTTGATAAAATACTTATATATGAAGTTTCATCAACCTAGCTGTGACGGTACTCAAGTTATCGTGTTTACACATGGACAAACAGACAGACAGACACACACACAGACATACGGACAAGATTGCAAAATTATGTTTTTCCGTATCAGTGAGGTGTAAAACGTCGAGATTTGTAAAAATCTCGATTTTTTTTTTGCACGATTACAATACCTTCTCTATACTTCGTATATTCGAGAAAGTGATAATGTTATTTTTAAATCAATTAACCACTGTGTAAATGTTAATAAAAGCATGGGTCGCTGAAGAGTTTGAATATTTAGTGGCACATCTCTCAATATGTCACATATCTGATAAATTTGCTTTTATTTGTAAATGTGTACTCTAATAATCAATATTATGAATATTTAACACAATTTCTACAAATGATGATACAAGATGTAAACACAAGCTGTTTTATAAATGTTTTTTTTCAATTCTTATAAAATTTGTAATATGTGTTGGTCTCTCAGTCATTATGATTTTGAAATATACAAATAAAATATAAACACAAACTATTTTTAAAAATAATTTTTCATTCTCGCTTCTACTGTTTAACTTGAGGCTTGAGGCGAGTCCCTGTTATCTCTATAGAATTATGCGTTAACTCGTTAGTACCCAAGACACATTAGGCGAATGCTTCAGAGACCTTAGCATATGAAGGGATAGTATGATCAGCACTATGCCCAGCATTTGTTTCCCTTATTTAAATTAGGTACCTATCTAAATTGGGCGGACGATCTACTTATTTCAACCAGTATTCGAACTCTAGACCCTCGTGTTTGCAGTTTAGCTCTCTAACGCTATTCTACGCTGTACATACGAATTCTCTATAACAATCTATTTTTCCTTTTACATTTGCACATTGAAGTGTAATTTATTATTACACTAGCAATCATTTAGAAAAGGTAAAATACAACTATTAAATACAAATTTTTTAAAAATGTACCCCCTTTAATAAATCTGATTTTAAACAATTACAAAGCTAAAAACCACCGAAATAATAAAATCATCAATATTTATTTTATATTTTTATTTTATGAATGTTTTGTTTTTGCTAAATTGCTTTTCAGAAGCCAAAGAGTCTTAATAATAAATTTTGATGACATATTTATTCATGAGAAATTGAAGAGATTAGGCAGTGGCTGTAAACGTAACAACACAATCACCGTGGCGATTATACAATTTGGTCAAAAGCCACATAACTGTGCCAGTTATATTTTTCTCATTTGACTACTACTAAATTTTACAATTTTAAACACCGACTGCTTAGGTATTGAAATGAGGTAGAATTTTTTTAATGAATAATCACAATTGTGCACGTAGTCAGAAATCGTATAAAATGTTACTAGCTTTTTGACCCGTGTTTTATTACGTCGGTTACCCCACAGTGTCTCAACCTGTTATTTCGCCCACGATTCTTCTCTCTACCCCCCCCCCCCTATAACCTCATCAGCTGATCTACACATGTTTTTACCTACCTGTGACCTCTGATTGTGAACGTAAACAAGCGGTTTCGACAGTATTTTTGTTACAGTTAAGCATAGGCGGATACTAGTAAGATATATTTTAAACGGTATTTTAATTTATGAATTTTAAAAAAAAATCTAAAAATCGTTTCACAGCTATTTGTTATTTTATAATGAATGAACATACATATTTAAATCGCTACACATCTTTAAATCACCACATTTGTTAAAGAAACAACTCCATAATCTGGCCCTTGTCTTATAGATAGGCATAAGCTTACACCATAATGAATTCAGAGCTTACTATAACTCTATGCGTTGTAGATTTGATTCGTGGAATCTAACATTGAAAACAAGCCAGCTTTCGACTTTTAACAAAATTATTTAAATGAATTTTTAGAATAACCACATTCCGAACACGACACTGCTCGGTAAGATTAGAGGAATTAAATGGACTGGGCGTTACGGGTCACTGATCCTTTCTTTGTGTGCTAGAGGGTTAGGGCTGGAAAATAGGTCCGTGTTAGAATGTAAGATAGACACACTCGATTAAGAATTAAGCGTGGATAACCTTTCAGGTAAGTGATTTCTTCACTAAATCTTTTTTAATAAAAGTGTAAATTATTGACACTATAGGAGACTGCACGTGTAAGCATTCTTGAAAATATTTGTTTAATTAAACAAACACATAATTAATGTCGGAAGAAAAGTGTATTTGTATTTGAATGTGGTTTAAAAACCGAAATGTTGATATTATTTGTGTAGTTCCTAAGCTCTATTTTCTTTTAGAAAGTAAGATGCCAGAACTTTAATACCACATAAATTTAAATTCATCTATTTCTTTAGCATCTACATTAGCTCATGTATCTTTAGTTTCCCTTTCACATTGAGTGACATCCTGTTGTGTTACTGAACCACGTAGTTTCATAGACATTGTTTTCACGTTAAAATATTGTGTTCATCATGTTTATAAACAAAATGCATTTGACTTTTTTTTTGCTGCATTTAGTGTAAAGCAATGTTGAGAAAATATGACCTTGTTTCAAGGGTCATTCCATCATTATTCAAAAGCCAACCAATTAGATGGACGTCAGTGGCCAGTAGTACCAACAAAGATGAGGTGAAACCTTTTGAAAAAATCCCAGGTCCTAAAGGACTTTACAATATACCCATTATTGGAGCATTCTTTCACTTCAGGCCTTTCGGTAAGTACAAGGCACAGTGGCGTAGCGAGAGGGGGGGGACGGGGGCTACTGACCGCAACAGGTGACACCATTTAGGGGGGTGACACCAAGGCAAAAAATAGCAAAATATATATAGAAAAAATGATAATTCCACTTAATTAATTGATTAATTCGAGTGTTAAGAAGTCTTTTAAGAGCAAATCCTGACAAGGGTGGAGGGGGTTGCAAATCGCAGTTTGAGGGGGTGGAAATAGAAAGTTTGAAGGGTTGATGCAAATCGAAAATTGAAAGCTTGTAAAGTTTGTCCCCAGCCGCCGGGAAGGGTCGCTACGCCTCTGGGGGGGGGGGGTGACACCATTTAGTGCCGCACCGGGTTACACCCGACCTCGCTACGCCACTGACGAGGCATAATATGGTATGTCCTAATTAAAGAGAGATTTAATTAAAAACTGGACGAAATTTCAACTATAAGTATTTGATTGTATGCAAAGGTAGGCAGAAATGGTACTTTATTTCTACTTTAGTTAAATAGTTACAAGAAAGTATTTATTTGTTTATACAAGATTTTGGTAGAAAGATGGTTGTTAAGAATCAAAGAAATGTATTGAGTCAAAAAGTATGGAAGTCTTTGTAGGGGTGGGGGGTGGGGGTGCTGAGGGTCTGGTTTGTTGTGACGACCTGCAAAGATTAAGCAAGTTAAGTGAACAAATATTAAATCATAGTGAATATGTTTTATGTTTATTCCAGGTAAATTTACACCTCAGACCACACACAAGCTTATTGACAGCTTGCACGAAAAGTATGGGCCTGTGGTTCGAGTACAGCTTGGAAGGAAATGTGTCCTGTTGGAGGATGTGAAAGACATTGAGACGGTCTTCAGAAATGAGGGCAAATATCCAAACAGACCTGGAATTGATATTTCCAAAGTTATCTATGAAAAGAATGGACTCAAATTACCACTTTCCGAAATGTAATATATATATAAAGAATCTAATTAGTAATATTAACATTAATTATTTCAAACTTGAAAATATATTGACCCATCAGTTGTGCTCTCTACATGTTGTCCCGTAATTTTCATAACGCATCATTATAGGAAGAGGTTGTTGTGTAGCTAAGCAAAGATTAGTTAACAGTGAATTCTTAAATTTGATTTGTTGACGTTACTGTGTGCCTGATTTGACTTGAGAAAGAAAATCTTTTTTTTTTCAAAGTGCTAATCATATATATACCGAAACTCATCTACCCCTATGGATTGGATTGTCAAATATAAGTCGATGCATATTTACGCTGTTTGGTTTGTTAGACTTTTAAACAGTGTACTTTAGTTTATTTGTATTTCGCTTTCATTTTAATTTTCGTTCTTTTCCATCAGACAAGGAGAAGAGTGGCAAAAATTAAGAACTCCCGTCAACAAAAGACTAATGAAAGCTGACTCGGCCTATCATTACCTGGTCCCACAGAACGCCGTAGCTGATGATTTTGTCAACATTTTGGCCACACAAAAGTTAACACCGGAAGAAATGAAAGATCTTTTCTTTCGCTATGCTTCTGAGAGTATGGAGGATTAACATATTTAAATTGATCTTGATAATATTGAAGATGATTACATTTTTTAAAAGTTTTTACAAATCATAGCAATAATAACCATTTAAACTTAGAGATTGAAATCAGGTGTTGGTTCCGATATGTCTAAATTTGAAAAAGAGTTATAACGAGGTTTTTTCATAAGGAATTTTTCATAAATGTTTTTAATGCTTTCTGTAGCATCCAACACACTAATCATATTTTTTTAATATTGTCTAGCTACACATAGAATTATATTTAAAAATATATTTAATTGAAAAAAAAAATTTTAAACTTGCTAAAATAGTTAAAAACAAATTATTCTTAACAAGACGTATTTTGGTTTGACTTGCTAGAATAGTTTAAATCAGAAGAAATTAATGAAATATATCATGCAGGTATAGCAGTGGTGACATTTAACACCAGACTGGGGTTCCTTGATAACTCGTCAGATAAGGAGTCATCAGAGTTTCTTGAAGCCACTAAAACGGTTTTCTCTATAATAACTGATGCTATCAGTGGTAAAATAATCACCCATAAATGGTACAAAAGCCAGGCCTATACGGATATGGAGAAAAGTTTATTGCTCATTCGAAAGTAAGAGGAGCTTACATTTTTTATAATAACTTATCATTATTCAGCTGGCATTTATGTATTTCTTATTATTATTTAATAAGTATGTACGTGTTTCTAATTGCTTATTTTTTTATTTAAATTTGTCAATGAGTTACGTATTTTGACCGTGTTTGTTACATTTCAGGAATTGTAATGTATAAAAATAAAAAAATATTTTTTTTTTCTACCTAGCGATCAATAGGCAGATGAAGTTGAGTTCATATGTTTATAGACCTCGGCATATAAAGGGATGGTGTGGTCAGCAGTATGCCCAGCCATCTTAACTTTCCCCAACTTAGGTCAGGTTCCCATTAGAATTGGGTTGACTCAGTGAACTTGCTATATGAATATAATTAAAAAGAGAAAACCTTGTTAAATAATTGCAAAATAGATTAAATACATATTTAAAAACCACATTTATCTCTTTCTAAAATATTAAATAATATATTCCTAAGAAATTCGAAAAAACATGCTTTAAAAGCAAAAGAAATAATCGAACAACAAAAGAAAGATGGGTCATTGAACCCAGAGGAGCCGAACTTACTTCTCTCCCTTGTATCAGAAAATGGTCTAGACGCTGATGACGTTAGTAACATACTGGACGCACTTTACGGTGCTGGTACAGATTCTGTAAGTTTTAATAATATTATTTTGTATCTTTATTCCTTTATGTTTTTAAAAAATCTGACAGTAATGTTTTTTTTTAAATGATCATACCTGCCTCATCCCACTTCAAAACAAATAGCCCTCTAGTGAAATCTACATCATTACCTATCAATTATTAAGATGATTTAGAAATTATAATAACACTAGCCGTCGCGGCCAGGCCAGGTACTGTACTGGCCTCTGTGAACAACTTGTCTGTAAAGGACAATGTTATGTATGTTTTTAAACAGCATACGCCCGCATTGCCCGGGTTTTGGAAATGTATTACTTTTCAAATTAACGCTAACCACAACCAACCAAACCAAAATCACACCAAAAAAAAACATAACGCAAACACATAAAACATAACGCAAACACAAATACATACACATACACAAACGCAAACAAAAAAACCCAAACACATAGACCTTCATATTAGCAGTCAAGTAATCTGTCACAATATGTATAAGATTTATTTTTAAAAACAAATATACAAACGTAGATTTTAATTGTTCACAGACAGCAAAGAATCTTCAAGTTTTCTTCTACAACTTGGCTAAAAACCCAGACAAACAGGAAATTCTTAGAAAAGAAATTTTAGATGTTGTGGGGGAATCCGGTGTTGTGGATGCTAAAGCCCTTTCAAAAATGCCCTACCTGAAGTATTGTCTAAAGGAATCTTTCAGGTAATATAAAATCAATCTTTTAGGTGCGTTTTATTCAACATTGACAATCAAACACTAAAACCGTATGCTCATTGAGGACAAGAAAGAAACATTTTGACAGTTGTAAAAACTTTCTGGCTATCAATTTACCAGAAAATTTCTTATTTCTTAATGAGAAAACAAGGTGACAACTATGTCTGTGATTTAAAGGTATTATTTTAACTCAACAGACTCAATTACCCAACCGTAGCAGGTACTATGAGAATTCTGCAAAAGGAAATCGTTGCGAGTGGATACACCATACCAGCTGGGGTAATGGTGTTTGTTTATTTTTATTTATTTTTTTTGTTGTTTTTTTTGTGTGTAAATTTATCAATTAATTTGCATATCATTTTTTCCTCGTTCGTGCTAAGGACACATGGGGTAGTTGAAGTAGAGTTCATCTCTTTGAATGAACTCAGCGTATAGGGAGATAGTGTGGTCAGCACTATGCCCAGCCGCCTTTGTTTCCTTAATGTGGGTTCACTCAAGGAAAATTTAAACTTAGTGGATCTACAACAAACACACAAATGAAAATGTGTGACAAATTCCCAAATGGACGCTTGCTCAAATAGGACAAATGTCAGAAAGCCTTCATTGTGATTTAAGCTGTAATTAAACATATTTAATAATTTTCGAATTATATTTGGTACTAGATACGAACGTTTAAACCTAAATATATTTTCAAACAGACTACAGTATATTTATGCAACCAAAGAGCCTCCAAAAAATGCTTTGATGACCCAGACAAGTTTATCCCAGAGAGATGGATGAGAGCAGACGATGGTCGTAAACAGGACAACACAAACAGCATGGCGGTTTTACCGTTTGGTCACGGACCCCGTAACTGTATTGGCAGACGTTTTGCTGTTCAGGAAATTTATCTGGCAACAGCTAAAGTGAGGTTTTATTACGATATTATCTAATAATAATTAAAAACTCCATCCAAAAAGCGTATAAGAATTTTGATTATGTTCCTATGTTTATTTGTATACAGGTTCTCCAGAAGCTAAAGATAGAATTAGAACCCGATTCCTGGAATACAGAATTTATCTACACGACATTCGTTGACACGGAGAAACCAATCAGATTTAAGTTTAAACAAATTTAGAACCAATATTCTGCCATTATTTTCACTGAAAGTTATGCTACAGTAAGCAAATTGTTTGCCACTTGAGTGATAACGCTACAGATAAAACTGCCATGACATTAGGATAGCTGTACAATTTTTCATTTAATATTTTTTAAAAATATTTAAACAAACAAAAAATGCTCACTTTATACGCTGTCCAAATTAAGCACATTTGAAGCTCGTGATAGAAATTGTTTGAATCTCTCTTATCTCCAATGATTTTGAATCCACGCTAATTTTTGTTGAGACTCTTATAGATGTATACTATTATTTTAATGAATAATCATCTTAGAGAATAAAATAATGAAATTTTAATTTATTTATTAGCATAATTAGTTTCGTAGGCTTTTAATTTCACTCTAATTTAAATTAAGCATTCTATTATTTATAAATCTGAATTGAATATTACGTATTATTTTCTCATTATAAAGCATGCCTTATTTCTCTGTACTACTACACGTATCTATATATATAATTATCTTCTTGGAGACCCTAGAAAACAAGCTGTAAGCGCGTCTTGCAGTCCCCTCTCTTCTTCACTAGGCATAAATCAATCTCCCCCACCCCCCCCCCCCCCCATGGTCTGGTGAGCTGTGGTTCACTCTAAATGTTTACAATCGTAGAGACTGGTTTAGTGACGGCTATTTGGGGCAGAAAATTTAGTTTGAAACTATTTTAAACTTAGGGGAGGTAACTAAGAGGAGGCTGCTTTCACGGGGGGGGGGGGGGGGTGTAGGGTAGGGGTTGGGGAAAGGAGGGTGGGGGTTGTATTGTCCTCAACGACCTACTGATAGTGTTTTAAAGCAAATATTTTCAGTGGCAGCATTGGTACTGTCGAATTCACAAATTATTAATTACTGAAAAGTAGAAAATAAAACAACTAAATAGCGGCATAAAAGCACGTAAAGTTAGCAGATATAGACATCCAAGTTAAGTTTTGGATAATTTAAGCTATTAAAAATTTTTAACAAAATGTTAAGGAAAAAGAGACGCAGAAACATAAGGCTAGATGGTAATCTATCGAAGATGTAAATACTTGGACTATTTATTGTATTACACGAATGTTGCTATGGACAATGTGAATAAACTTTGTGTATAAAGGTAACAGTTTTAATGATGTATTTACGCTTTCGATACATATTTACTTATTTATTTTGTAAATGTTTATGTACATTAAACATTTCAATAATCCCCTTATCAATTTATTTGTTTTCGCCCCTTGACAAACATTTCTAGTTGTGTTGTGTACCAAAATGACTTTTTGTAATCAAATGTACTTTAAGATAATGAACTGACATTTTGCACTAAGACTTGGCTGCTCCATAATACAAGCACGAAATAGATTAAGTATTTGGTACGTGTTGTTGATGGTGTTTTGTTCAATTTATTTGACACACTTTATTAAGTAGAGCAAAATTACGTATGTCGATACATTTTTACAACGTTGGTTTAAGTGAGTTTATTTACCTGAGGAAAGGTTACTTAAAAACAATATTTTTATCTGCAAAAAAATAATCATTTGAACATTGTAAAGGGAGAGTGGATAGTGACAACAAGATGGAAAAACTGAGTCCCCAAAAATTATTTTTATTTCTATGTATGGGGGTGGGGGTGGGTTAATTTGACTATTGTGCCGGTAAGAGCCATCGAAGTACTATACTGAAAAGGAGGGGGCCTCGTGATCATTCAAGGTTGTATGAATATCTAGGTCATCTGATAACGTCACTTGTGGACTAGCTTGTAAAGGGTAGGGGGGGGTTTAATTGTCATCTCAACAGTAAACATTTGATGTATTAGGGAGGGGTCACTTTATTATCTATTGGATACCTTTTTTAATATTTAGAAACAGAGCCACGCTTTTCTTTATAGTTATTTAAATAGTAGTGTATTATTATAGATAGAGATAGTGGTTAACGTGAGTTAGGTACCCATCAGAGTTGGGTGGACTCAGGGACGTTCTACTGACTTGAACCCGGATTCGAACTCGAGACTTACGGGTTAGCAGTCCAGCTCTCTACCGCTAGACCACTCCGTCCCGAGCTATCGTGCTCACAAGAAAATAAAATAAAGTAGAACTTCCGGTTTGAAAGAAACACAATTTAACACTTATATGTAAAACTTCGTCTACCTATCTTAAACAGCATTCAAGTTATTCGTGTTAACAGACACACATAGAAACACATACACATACACACAATCATACACACACTCTCTCTCTCTCTCTCTCTCACACACACACACACACACACACACAACATAGGTTTGAAAACATTTTTTTTAATGGGACAGGACGGTTTTAAAAATTTGGTCAAGTCTCGATTTAGATGTGTGCACGATTACAATGCGTCGTTTTATATCCCTCATACGATACGCAGGTGTACAATGGCGAAAACTATCAAAATATTTAATTTTTGTGCACAATTACAATACTTTCTCTATGCTCTATATACGAGAAAAAAAAATTCATTTAAAAAAACGTTTTAATAACATGCTTTTATAATTTTGCACTAAAAAGAAGAAAATAAATGATTTTCTTTAAGGTATGCAAATGTATCACTATTTAAATAACTAAATAGAAAAGCGTAAGTCACTATATTATATATAGAATACCTTTGCTAAAATTTAAGAAGCTATCCACGCTTTTCTTTATAGTTATTTAAATAGTGATGCATTAGTATACCTTAAAAGATAATCATTTTTTTAGTGCATAATTATCATGAGAGCTTGTTATTTAAAAAAAATTATTACTAATTTATTGTCGACTCTTTAAAAAAAATTCTTTATAGTATTAGTTTTACATCGTTCATTGTTATCCCCACGTTCATAGATTAATTTTAATGCCGTATGAATATATTTTTAAATATTTTTTTTAAAAATCTTTTAATGATGAAATCACTTGAAATGTAGTGTTTTTTTAAATCAATCTTAAACACTCATGAAAAAATATATAGAGTAAATTAAAGTATACCATACACAGAGTTTCTTCCAGGCCATCCGCCCCTCCCCCCCCCCCCCCCCCCCGAATAAAGGCCAACCGTCCCCCGTCCCCCCCCCCCCCCTCCGAATGAAATGAAATGTATATAATTTATGTAGAAAATATATACTTTTAACAGTGTCCGCACCCCCGAAGAAAGTCTACCCCCCCCCCCCCCCGAAAATTTCAAGTGCCCCCCCCCCCGGAGAAAAAAGTCTGGAAGAAACACTGACCACACACCACCGGGGAGATGCCTGAAATAAACTACAAGACAGAGAGCCACATTTTGTTCACTGAACTGCGTATATAAACATCAGGACGCAAACACCTTGCTGTTTTGATAAGAATGTATTTTAGGGTTACCTCCTTTTTTCGAACTCTCCATTTCCATCTTATCTAAAAGTTCAGAGTAATCATCATCTCCCAGAGATGTATTTGTGTCAAAGATAGCCTCAGATGATAAGTGATAAAATGGCCCGCTTTATTTTCGATTTTTTATTATACATAAGTTTGAAGGTATGTAAACATTCAAGTTTTAAAAATATATTTAACTAACATTAGTCTTATATAGCTGATCATGCATTTATTTTCTAACATTTTTATTATTAGATTTCAAAAATTTTAATTAATTTAAGTACTGCTTTGCAAAATAATTTTTTTTTCACTAAAGCTATACAAAAGAATTAAGGGCGTGTTTGTTGGTTTAAGACGTTATAATAAAAACATGTCTAAATGTGTTTTATGAAACCATCCACAAGAAAGCGGGGTGACTCTTATGAGAAAATTGCTTTTCACACATCCTTTGAAGTGAAGCCCCATGGAAATTAAATAATTAATCATAGCTTAATTTTTTATTAAGCACATACTAGATTATTTTTTTAAATATTAAAAGAAGTAATTGAAGCCAGATTTATAAAAAAAAAACAATTGCTTAATTAATTGTTGCTTAGAAAATCAGTTATATTTAGATATTGCCTATACGGGTTGAATTGCATAATTTCTGACATTTTTATAGTTAATTTATATTGACTGGCAACGTCTGCACCGCCTGACTTAGTGACTGGCACCATCTGACTTAACCAGTGAAGTAGAGTTGACTGAAGTAGAGTTCAGCGGTTTCTGTATCCTCAGCATATGAAGGGATTGTGTAGTCAGCGCTATGCCCAGCCGCTTTTACTTTCCATAACGTGAGTTTGGGCTGTGTGGATTTAAGGACGTTCTACTGACACAAACCTGGGATTCGAACTCTATACTTTCCGGTTAGCAGCTGCTTTCGAGTGTCCGGTCATAAAGGAATCGGTCAAGAACAATTTTTAAAGCTAAATTGTTTTCGGCATAAACAATGATTTATTTTAATAAATATATGTTGTTTTTTCTTTCTTACAGTACAAATAATTTAAATGCTGGAATGGATTTAATTTATTTTTTTCCCCCGTTTCGCCAGCTTTTAGCAATAGAGTTTTGGTGAAAAATGTTCAGCAAACTCAACTTCCTTGTAAGGTCAGCGCCTGGTTTTATCAGCCACCAGCCTCTCCGATGGATCTCAGTGGTCAGTAGCGTCAGCAAATATGAGGTGAAATCATTTGAAGAGATCCCAGGACCTAAAGGACTTTACAACGTTCCGTACATAGGGCCTGCCCTTTTTTTCAAACCGTTCGGTAAATGTGACTATCAAATAAGAGTTTAGTACACAAAAATGTATTAAATTTAAACATATTTTTTTATTGCTATAGGGTCATCCATAAATGACGTCACGATTTTTTGACGATTTTTACCTCCCCCCCCCCCCTCCCCTCCGTCACACCCCTAAAATGACGTCACACCTCAACCTACAACCCAGCTCAAAATTGCAGTTGAATTTTTTAAAACATCGATATTTTTCTAAAAACTTGTCTAAACTATTACAATTTATATAAAAAGTTATCTAAAACGCGAAATAACGTCTAAAATTCGTTTTCTAATATTGCTTTTTTATAATGCAATAGTGTGACGTCGCAAAATCTGAACCCCCTCCCCCTCATCACACATCGTCACAAAATTACGGACCCCCCCTCCCCCCTACGAGTGTGACGTCATTTATGGATGACCCCTATGATCTATTTACAAATAAACTTTAAGACTTTAACTTAAAGAATTTAGTACTTTGTCAATAAAAAACATTTTTTCTCAGTGGATAGATTACATAATTAAATAATAATTAAATAAACCGACATCCTATAGCCAAACTAAAATCTACACATGAACATGCAAATGCAAAGCAACGCACACATATACAATACGTTATGCATAGCAGTTAAAACCAAACGCTAATACCAAAAGCAATGAGAACTAAATTAAAGTCTAAATTTGTCTTCATTTGCAGGTAAATTTACAACCCAGACCATTGACAAATTGTTTGAAAGCCTACATGACAAGTACGGGCCAGTGGTTCGTGTCCAGCTTGATTACCCATACGTAATGGTTGAGAACCTCAAAGATATCGAGGCTGTCTTCAGAAACGAGGGCAAATATCCTTTCAGAAATTCGACTGATATTTTCAAAGTTGTTTATGAGAGAAATGGATACAAACCGGCGCTGAGTCATACGTAAGGTTATCAGTAAATTGCGTTTAGTCCTATGTATGTAAATTTATGTGCAAGTAAATGTTTATTAAACATGCACTTATAAATATACGTATACAAAAATTAAGGGTTATTTTATTGGAAGCCTGAAATTAAGTGAAACTTTATTGCGTATGTGCATACTTCTGATGACATAAATTCAATGTATGCAAAGGTATTAAAAATATATGAAGATATCTTCTTTCTTGGCCTTTGGGTTTGAAATTTTACATAATTTAAAGTAACGTTTGCCAAAAGCGAAGGTTGGCCTAAACCAGGGGTCGGCAACCTGCGGCTCGTGAGCCGCATGCGGCTCTTTTGATGTCAAGATGCGGCTCTTCAGCTACATGCACACATAATAATTATTTTATTTTATTTTTATAACTCATTAAAATATTAGTCTGCAACACTCGGTAATGAACAATATAATAATAAATATTAACAATAAACACTCGCTATTCTATTAGAATATTTAGTTACTTTCAATGTACTTCCTTGTTTTCAAAAACTGAATTATTTCAAAGTAAAGAATGCCTGTTCTTGGAACATATTTATCGCGGCACGGGTTTACCTACACTACCGCCCAGCATGCCTTTAGTTTGAGTTAATCACTCTCTGTAATATCACGATTAATCACTCATCACTTAGGTGTCAGGGGCTTAGATTGGCGCTCTCGAAAACCTGATTACACTACTTCAGGGGCACCGTGTATGGCTCCTACCTCGGTTTAATCGTCGAATGTCGTGTGCCGCATTATCAATATTGTAGGGTAGTCCTTAAAAATAACGTAGACGCGTAGTGCTCGCGGGATAGCCCAGGGCGCCAAATCGCACCCTGCAGAGATGCCAGAGGACGATCCCAATTCGATTTAGTGAGAGACTGTATTGTATCCATTGCCTATCGCGCTGTTTGAAATAAACTATTTGGCCAATCGTGTCTTTAGTGCATAGCCTTTTTTAAAACGAACGTAGGCGCCATAGTGCTCGCAGGTGAGCCCGTGGCGCTTCGGGTCGCGAAATTGACAAGAGGCCGGCGGTTGCGCTTGTTGCAGTTTTGCCGCTGAATATACTAATAGCCTACCCCTTACCCGCTATGTAGGACGTACGATTAAAGGATGCCAAGTGCTAACATACCCGCTCTGGAACTCTGGGCGCCAAACCGTGTATTTACGAAAATCGCACACTCCCGGTCGCCGCCCATGAGTTTTTGTTTTCGTACAAATATTCTCTGATTATTCTCATCTACTCTCCAAAGTTTCATGGAACTCAGATGAACAGTGTCGAATCGCATCCTCCCGGGGCACTGCCCTTGCGAAATTAAATAAGAATTTTTTTCGAGAAACCTCGCTTGGAGTGTTCTAACCAACTCCCAAAGTTTCATTGCAATCGAATGAAAGGTGTGATAATGAATAAAAGATAAACAGACACACACACATACATTGCTTTGATATATATATATATATATATATATATATATATATATATATATATATATATATATATATATATATATATATATAGAGAGAGAGAGAGAGAGAGAGAGAGAGAGAGAGAGAGAGAGAGAGAGAGAGAGAGAGAGAGAGAGAGAGAAAAAGAGAGATATATATATATATCGTAATATTGAAAATGTTAGTGGCTCTTTAAAAACTGGGACATTTTGTTAATTGTTATTTTGGCTCTTCTGTCTTAAAAGAATACCGACCCCTGGCCTAAACATTCTTTGCCTCGAAAATGAGAACATAAGTCAAATAATTGTAAACATGTTTTAATTATATTTTCTTATATCAGCCAAGGAGAAGAGTGGCATGCCCTGAGAACTCCAGTCAACAAAAGACTAATGAAAGCTGACTCGGCCTATCATTACCTGGTCCCACAGAACGCCGTAGCTGATGATTTTGTCAACATTTTGGCCACACAAAATTTAACACCGGCTGAAATAAACGATCTTTTCTTTCACTATACTTCTGAAAGTAAGGAATAACCCTTGATAATTAAAACTATGTTCGTGATCCAACTTCTTGTGTGCCTTTTCAACTCTCAATTCATCATAGGCCATTTAAAACATAACTCTATGTTTTTATGATTTTTTTTTGCAGTTCTTTCCAACTATTTCCAATAATTATTTTCTATGTCTATTTCTCAGGTGTTCTGTCTCCCTCTTCTTCTTGATTACATGTTAAATCTTGTCTGTAAGTCTTCTTCGAAGTATGTTTACGTTTACTCCACTTGTATTTGATTATTCGTTTACCGTATTGTTGTATTAAGTATTTCGTCAAGCCACTTTGTATTCAATATTCGAAGTAGGTGGCTTTTTTGTGTAGCAACATTTATTTAAAAACTGTTCCTGCCACATTTGTTGGCTGCGAGAAGTTGCACTCCGAAAACACAAAACAGTACCCAGTCTAAACCATCGAAGTTCGAAACTTTCAAGCTACATTGTATACTTTTCTTAGACCTCATCTTAGCAACCTGCTGACAACCTGCTCTCAATATCACAACAACCTCTTATCAATCTACTATCAATGTTCTAACCATTCTCTTACCAGCCTGCTAACAACCTGCTATCAATCTCGTAAGCCTGCTGACAACCTCCTAACAACCTGTCGTCTAAATAATTTATCTTTCACGTGACATTTTACAAACAAGTTCAACTTAGGAAAAAATAAACTAAAACTCAAGGATGAACACAACTAAAATATTTTTTATCGCAAGGGTTCAAACCTTTGTCATCGTTGTGAATGACAGCTCAAATCTTCATTCAGTTCGGACAAGAAATAATATAATAATATACAAGGGTTAGATTATAGGATTAGGATCTGAGCTACGTTTTGTGGATTAAGTTGTAATATAACTAAATGCGGGATTTGAATAACGTGTGATAAAATTTTCGTAGCAACATTTTTTTTTAAATAGTTCTACAAACTTTGGAATTTTTTCAGGCATTGGCGTGGTGGCCTTCAATGACAGACTTGGCTTCTTGGATCGGTGTTTAGACAAAGAGAAGTCAGAATTTCTTGCAGCCACGAAAGATTTTTTCTCAGTCATAGCTGCAGGGTTAAGTGGCAAAATTATGACGTACAAGTGGTATAAGAGCCGGGTATACAGAAAGATGGATAACTGCTTGCGGACAATAAGAGAGTTAGTTCATGTTAAAACTTATTATTGCATTATTTTATTAAAAAATATAAATGTTTTTAAAAAATATTTCACTCAAAAAAACATAAGTTTGCTTCTTGTTTAGAAATAAAATCAAATAGAAGTGTGTATAAACATTTTTTTTCGATTCTCAATATCGAGATATTTTAAAAATAAATAAAACATAATGATATTATATTTGAAATTTCTATCATTAAATTCAACATAATATATTTAATAATACATAATTAATATTATATTTCACATATAGATGAAAGAATGTTTTATATTAAAATTTACTTATTTTTTTAACAATCTTTTATAATAAACAATTAAAACTGTTATTTTTCGTTTATTAGACGAACAATAATAAATTGATCAAAATTGTTAACCAACCAAAACCTCATTTGTTACCGTAATATTTTTTATGAAGTCTTTATTATTGTCACAAATACAATTTAAACAAAACAGTTTTAAAACAGGCTGGTATGTGTAGATTTCTGTATTTTATTTATATTGCTTGATTATGCTAACTTGTCTAATGTTATAAGCACTTTGTCCGGATAAAGCTCAATAAATATAGTATGTAACATGTTTTAACATCATATTATTTTAAATAACAAATGTTAACTGTTTAAGAGCTTGTAAAACATTCAGTAACTACGAATTATTTTAAAATTTTACAGCTTTAATTTTTATAATTGTAAATCTGTTCTTATATTCATTGTGTTCTGTTGTGGTTTAAGAAACTCAAGAAAGCATATTTCAAAAGCGCGCGAAACAATTGAGCAACGAAAACGGGAAGGAACTTTTCATCCAGAAGAACCAAATCTACTTCTCTCCCTTGTAGCAGAAGAAGCACTTGACGATGAAGACGTCAGTAACATACTGGACGCTCTTTACTTGGCTGGTACTGACTCTGTGAGTTCTTGTCAAACTGACCAGCTTTTTAAATGAGAAAGTGAAAGCTTGGGTGGCTTATCGTTGTTATTATATTTCAATTTATTGGGCGGGTGGAAATCAAATCAAAATTTTAAAACAAAAACTAAATTTGTATTTTAAATATTGAGATGAGTTGACATCGTCCTTTGACAAATTAATAATAAAAATCAGTAAATCTAAAAAAAAATAAAAAATAAACAATTAAACCTGTTTTTTTTTTAAATTATCACTGCAGGAAGTTTATGGGATATTGATCCTAAAATCTGTCCTTTTATTGTTGACATAACTGGCAAATGTAATTTTATTTCAATACATTATCAGGGTTTACAATAATTACTAAAAAAACATACTTTTATTATGTAAAATAAAGTTTTTAAAAGTAAGAAAAATAAATAAAGCAACGATTAAAAAGTGTATTTTAGTCTTTAATCTTTGTATGCATTAGCAACCTACGTTAACATTTTAGAGTCTGTACTCTGCATATAAATATTATTTTTTGCCAATTATTTTACGATAATTAACAACAATCAATAATGTGAGAGGCCAGGTAGTGTGTCAGTCCTTCCTTCATTCCTCCTTCATCGCTATAGACTTGGAACTATAAAAGTAAACATCCATGCATGCAGTGATTTTACGTGCTTCGCATTGTCTAAGTAATGGAGTGGGGTCAATTTATGTAACGAATTTAATCTTTGAGGAAGTTTTTACTCTTTCTAATACGTCAAAAAAAAAAGAACGTGAAGAAAATATTAAAGACATTGCTAAAACTTATTTAAACAGGTCAAGGTCAAATAATATTTTCGCGTTTGCGGTTTTGTTTGTGTTTTTTGCGTTTGCGTTTGCGTTTGCGTTCGCATTTGCTTTTGCGTTTGTGTTTGCATTGTTTTGTGTTTGAGTTGGTGTTGCGCTTTGTTTGTGTTTGTGTTTTCATTTGTGTTTTCTTTTGTGTTTGCGTTTGTGTTTGTGTTTTTGTGTTTGCGTTGGCCTTAGCATTTGAGTTGTTGTTTGTGTTTGCGTTTGTGTTTGTTTTAGTGCTTGTGTATGTGTTGTCTTTCGCTGTTTGTTTGTTTGCGTTTGCGTTGTGTTTGCTTTTGTGTTTGTTTTCTTTTGTGTTTGTGTTTGGTTTTGTTCTGTTCCCAATTTGGGTATGCAGCTAGTACCAATATAACGGTATAATAATAGCGCAGTGTTTTAAATACATCAAATTCTAAACAAAGATCACACTCTGCTGCGTCAGGTACTTTTAGATCAGTCGTTTGAAACATATCAGAAATCTCATAACTAGACATTAATTTTTTATAATTCAGACAGCGAAATCACTTCAAGTTTTCTTCTACAACCTGGCTAAAAACCCAGACAAACAGGAAATTCTTAGAAAAGAAATTTTGGATGTTATTGGAGACTCGGGTGTTGTGAATGCTAAAGCCTTGTCAGGGATGCACTACTTAAAGCACTGTCTTAAGGAATCATTCCGGTACTATAAATCCGTAACCTTAAAATATATTAAAACGTTATAATTATTTATTATGTTATAAATGGGTTATTGTGATGAAGAGATATGAAATATTAAATAGCTTTTTTTCTAATATATCATTTTAAAATTATTCTTAAATTCTCAGATTAAACTACCCAACACCCTCGGGTACCGTAAGAACTTTACCCAACGACATTGTCGTCAGTGGCTACAGGGTTCCAGCTGGGGTAGTTATACATTTTCACATTTTATATTTGTATTGTAAAGTTGATGTGCATTATAAAATATAAATAAAGTAAAAATTGATGTTTTAAAACTATTTTAGAATACATATACCGTTCTTTCTATATTTCAGAAACGGTTCTTTTAACTACAAATAAATGTTAAAATCAAACTATACTATAAAAATGATTTTCATTCATTTTCACATGAGCTTTTTTTGTAAAGAAGGTTAAAAGTTTCTTCCTTTTTACCTTCTCGTATACAGAGTAGGGCTATAGAGGAAGTATTGTAATCGTGCACAAAAATCACATGAAATTTTGACAGTTTTCACCGTTTTACTTCTCATAAGACCTATTCATCATATACGGACAGGGGCGTAGCGAGGGGGGGGGGGGCGGGGGGTGCGGACCGCACCGGGTGACACCATTTAGGGGGGTGACACCAAGGCAAAAAATAGCAAAATATATAGAGAAAAACTCGAGGGGGGGGGGGTGCAAATAGAAAGTTTGAGGGGGGGGGTGGAAATCGAAAGTTTGAGGGGGGGGGGGTGCAAATCGAAAGTTTGAGGGGGGGGGGTGCAAATCGAAAACTTGAGGGGAGGGGGGGTGCAAATCGAAAGTTTGAGGGGGGTGCAAATCGAAAATTTGAAAGTTTGTCCCTGGGAAGGGTCTCTATGCCTCTGGGGGGGTGACACCATTAAGTGCCGCACCGGGTGACACCCGACCTCGCTTCGCCACTGTATACGGAGTATAGGGAACTTAATTTAATCGGGCAAAAATTATAAATCCAGATTTGACAAAATTTCGGCATTTTACGCGTAATGGAGTCGGGAAAACCTGGACTTTGCAATTCTGTACGTACGTCTGTGTGTGTGTGTGTGGATGTGTGGATGTCTGTGAACACGATAGCTTGCGTACCGTTACAGCTAAAATGATAAATTTTCGTATATAAGTATTATATCAAATTTGTAGGTTTATTAAAAAATTCAGCGATTTCCGATAACCGGAAGTGGATTGATTACTTTTTCACATAGATAAACGAAATTACATATACAAGTCAAAGATCTCATTTTTTTTTTGCCTTCTATCAAATTTTGAGCAATTTCCGTCGTTGACTGGAAGTAGTACTTTACGCTATTTCCGATTTCTCAAAAAAACGCATATGAATTTATAAAGTACCAGTTTTCCACACTATTATGCAAATATTGGTTGACGTTCACTTGGTGCGCGATTCTTTTTTCTACGAAATTCTATTCCATTTTTTTTTAAGTTTAAGTATGTAAAAACTCATTAAAAATCATGTCGATATCCTGAGTTGCCATCTCCGTAGTGTTATATAAGAATATTCGAGAAAATTTAGGGGGATGGGTCACTTCATTGCATATGCAATCTGTATATTAGAAATGCAAATTGTATATTAGGCTAATGTAGTGCAAAGTATTTATTGTGGATATATTTTCGATTGCTTAATAAATGCTACTTGCAAAACAGCTCATGCATTTTTCACAGATGTCCATTGTCCATATATTGGTATAAGACAGACTATTCCATATTTATTGAAATATAACAAAGAAGTTCAGATATAATTTGACATGTTGCCATCTAAATATGTGTGAATTCATTTTGAGTGAGATACATTTACATACAATTGTATTATAAAGAAATAAATTCAGAATATTTACAAACGAATCGAACAAAAAGATGTTGATTTTACATTTATGGTTGTTTAAAGTTTTGATAAGCACACCATAATATACTATTTTGAAATTACTACTAGTTATGATCATCAATTTATAACTAAATGTTTTTCTATGCTGTTTTTTAACCAGTTTTTCTTCTTCAAACCTCAGTCAGAGGGTTATTTTCCTGAGCACAGTTATCAATTAGATTAAAAAAACAACTGCTCGCAAAACATAAACAGTACATAATAGTTCTTAAAATTAAAGAATTTTTTTTCATCCACAAATCCCTATCTAGGCTATATGTTGGCATTTTTCCACAGACCACGTTCCTTTTAAGCAACAAAAGAGCCTGTAGGATTTATTTTGAAGACCCAGACAATTTTATCCCAGAGAGATGGACAAGAGCAGACGATGGTCATAAACATGAAAACACAAACTGCATGGCGGTTTTACCGTTTGGCTACGGGCCGCGGAATTGTGTTGGTCAACGGTTTGCTGTTCAGGAAATTTATCTGGCGACAGTTAAAGTAAAATGAAAACTTTCAAATACATATTGTCTACCGATCTCATTTCAAATTAATGTTCTATATTAATTATTACTTAGTTCATCATTGTGCACTAATTTTTCTGACCAGGTTCTCCAGAAGCTGAAGATAGATTTAGAACCAGAGTCCTGGAATACAGAATTCATCTACACAGCTTTCATTGAATCAAAGCATCCAATCAGATTTAAGTTCACAAAAATTTAAAATTAAAAGCAACCTATATGACATTCTGAGTGCGGCAAAATGATGTGTTTTTTTACATGATCCTGTATATATTAATTAAATTAACTATTTTTGTCTACAAAACATGGCCGAGAAGTATTTTAAACTAGAAAAAAATGAAAATAAAGAAATAGAAATGTGGTGTTTCATAAAATGTTTCATACATGTAATTAAAACAAAATTTAATTATTTTACTTTCTTACTATAATATAATGTATATATAAATGTTATTGTAAATGTTTTTGTTGCACTTGGATATTTTATTCATTAGAAACTGAAATTGCATGATTAATTATTAATTTTCATTCCACGACAATTTTAATTGAGACTATTTTAAAATAATGCCATTATTTTATTTTTTAAATATTTTCAGAAAATGAAATTTTTGTGTGTAACCCTTGTAAACGATATTTTTCGTGCACGTTGTTAATATAATCGATATTAAGTTTGTTAGCTGTCTATTTTCATTTCTTTTTTTCTTATAATGAGTACTTTTAGGTTCAGTGTTTTCGACGCATTAGAGAAGACTACAAACAACAAATAGGAAAGAAAGATTATAGTTTTGAGCATGTTGTCAGTTTTGTACATAAGCATTTTTTTTTAGTTTTATAATTCAAACGCCTAAGAGAAAAAAAAATTACTTACGTGGTGAATGATAATATACATTGAACGTTTTACTTCATCATTATCTAAGTGTTTGGTACATTCATTGACCAGCAATTGTAAGTACGTTGTGCTCTTGAGTTGGTTTGTTCATATCAAATGTACTTTAAGATAAAACAGAGACAACCTGCTGAAACATTCAGCTGCTCTATAAAAACAAACATGAATTTGGGAAGCATGTATCTAGGGCGTAGCTCTAATGTGGTAACTTGATTTAATACGATTTATTGTTAGAAATAAAATAAATAAAGCGTGAGCTATCTCACCTAAAACTTTCTAGAATATACTTTTATGGCACTACGCGGGATGGCAACTCGAGATAAAGACAAGATTTTTAATCAATTTTTAATTACCTAAACTTTTAAAACAGAATAGAAGCTCGAAAGAAAAATAATTGCGCACCAGGTGAACAGCAAACAATGTGTATATAATAGTGCGGAATAATAGTGATTTATAAATTAATATGCCTTTATTTGAGAAATATGAAACAGCATAAATTAATACTTCCGGTAACAGGCAGAGAATTAGATCTTTAACTTATATGCGAATTTTCGTCTATCTATTTTCTCACTCAAGTGTAGGCTTTTGAAATACCAAAAGTATAATAAGTTGCAATACCGGTTACCGGCAATCGCTGAAAAGTTGATTAGGAACTACAAATTTGATATAATATTTATATATGAAATTTCATCAACCTAGTTGTAATGTACCCAAGTAATCGTGTTCACAGTTATACAGACATACACACACACACACATAGGGGCAAAATTGCAAAACATGTTATTTTTTCGATTCAGAGAGGTGTAAAATGTCGAGATTTGTGAAAATCTCGATTTCGAGGTTTTTCACGATTATAATACTTCCTCAATACTTCGTATACAAGAAAGTAAAAAGGAAAAAAATAGTGTTGGTACGACTAATTTATTCAGCACGAGGAACGAAATAAAGGGATTCCTAGATCTGCAAATAGTAACTTACGAAAAGCCATCTGAAGACTGTATATGGGAGATGGTCTTATGAGAAAAAAATGCAACATAAGGAAAATCACCTGCATGCGCAACTAAAATTTAATTTATCGGAAGGGTTTGCAAGTAGGTTCATCCGCAGATGGGTTAGGGTCACTTTCATTGTACAAAATGAAGTAGGTTAAATAAGAATAATACAGAGACGGGGTTGCCTGAACTTGTTACTTATAATCTTTATAGGGAGGAGGGGGAGTATCTGTACACTGTATATGAGAGAGGGTGACCTTAGTAATGAATTAATGTGGTGTTAGATACTTGAGGATTTATTTAATCGGGTCAACGTGTTTAAACATAGTACAGATAACACTCTAAGAAAGGCAAAACTTTGATTTTGTTTGACACCCACAAGACGGCTACGCCACTGAGTAGGTAAACAACTTGAAACACCTGCGCACAACGCGTTATCCAGCTAAGTGTTTTTTTACAAAATGCATGGCAGGGTTATCTACCTTTTTATTTTCATTTTTACTTACAGGTAAGAATTATCCTAACCTCACATAAATACATTTTTAAAGCTACCATATACTTTTTTTTTATTCCTAAACGATAAAAACAGTTGATAAAAGTTATCTTTATTCTAATCACAAATAAAAATTAAATAATGTCAATAAATGTTGTTATAGTGCTGTATCTTTAAACGGTTGTATTTTTAAAAATTTCACGACCGTAAAATATTTTTCTCCAGGTAATAAGCACAACACTATGGAGAAAAATGTTCAGACGATTTAACATCATTGTAAGGTCAGTTCCTAACCTCAGTTCCCACCAACCTCTGCGGTGGACGTCAGTGGCCAGTAGTGTCAACAAACATGAGGTGAAACCGTTTGAAGAAATCCCAGGTCCTAGAGGACTTTACAGCTTGCCGTACATAGGATCTGTCCTACATTTCAAACCATTCGGTAAGGCTGACTTTATTAAAGTGAAGGTTCAGGAATTAAAGTGTAATTCATTAACATTTTAAATTATTTATTTTTTATTGCCAAGGTTGTTTAAAAAAACGTGATACCTAAAATTTAAACAAAATGACGCACTTTATTAAATTGTATGAGTGCACAATTAAAAATATATATTTGTATAAACAATAAAAACAACAGCTATACTAAAAACTAAACCTGAAATTTCCACTATAAAGCACATGCACTTTCGTATGCACACGTAAACATTGTTATGAACATGCAGTTTTGTGCACATGAAGTATCATTCCAAGAAAATTGATTACTTCTTAATATTTTTTTAAAATCTGATCTTTATTGCACGAAAATTTTAAAGTTTGTTGTTTATAATAATCTTTAAAAGACCATGCAAACATCAAATTACTGTATAAAAATATCTTCATCGAATTTTATTTTTATTTTCTAGGTAAATATACGCCACAGACAATAGACAAGTTGTTTGAAAACTTGCATGAACGGTATGGGTCCGTGGTTCGAGTTCAGCTTGGCAGAACCTATGTGTTGGTGGAGAACCCCAAAGACATCGAGACGGTCTTCAGAAACGAGGGCAAATATCCGTATAGACTTCCGATTGATATTTACAAATTTGTCTGTGAGAAGAATGGATACAAACCCACACTGAGTCAGACGTAATTGTATTATTAATTTTTATGACCAAATGTTAATGTAAATGGAGATTCATTTGCTAATGAATTTATAATATACACATACATTTATTAGATATATGTAATTGTTTACGAAGTTTATTAGGTTCACCTGGCTACTATATTGGATGCCAGACGATTTGTGGAAAATTTTTTTGCTATTAAGCAGATAATTTAAATTTATGTCAATATATAATAATTGCATTCTCTCGTATCAGCCAAGGAGAAGCGTGGCATGCCCTGAGAACTCCAGCCAACAAAAGCCTAATGAAAGCTGACTCGGCCTATCATTACCTGGTCCCACAGAACGCCGTAGCTGATGATTTTGTCAACATTTTGGCCACACAAAAGTTGACACCGGAAGAAATGAAAGATCTTTTCTTTCGCTATGCTTCTGAGAGTAAGTAGATCTAAAAACATAGAAAAAAAATTCTCGCTCGTCAATACCTGGATACAAATCCGTTAATACAATTTGTCTGAGATACTTTTTCAAATAAAATAAAATTATAACTATGGATTTTATTTTTTATTTTTTAACTGATCAAGTATTAGAAGAATTGTCTCCGCTTTTGTGGTTTGAATTAGGTTATTCACTTTAAAAAAAAAACATTCATTGTTACACGAGCACATATTTTTGGACATTTCTCCTGTCTGAGCAAAGTTCAAATTCAACTTTCTATACAAAAAGCATCTGCTCTGTTGCCTCTTCGCATGAGTTGAACTACAGCTGAAAAACAACAGCTGGACGTAAATCGAACAACATTCCTCACAGACTAAAGAATATTTGCTATAGACAATGTTCATCTCCGATTAATACAATGTTGTTGTGACTTTACTCGGGTTAGATTATTACGTTCGAGTTTAAACTAGGATATATATATATATATATATATATATATATATATATATATATATATATATATATATATATATATATATATATATATATATATATATACATATATATATATATATATATATATATATATATATATATATATATATATATATATATATATATATATATATTTAATACGAGCCGATCCGAGGCGTAGCATACGCCGCTATTTAGTGACAGGTGAAGACTTCCTGAAAGACACAGTTGTCCTAATGGGGTCGGTGGGTACACACTGTTGCGCATGCCTGGAGAGCGAGGGAGGAGCTGCGAGAAGGGTTAGAAAGTCGGGGTGCGTGCGTGGTGTCCCACGTGGTAGGGCGACGTAGGGAATTATATACATAGATATATTCTTGTAACTTAATTTCTTAACATTTGAAACATGATTCTACAAACTTGTGGATATTTTTAGGCATTGGCGTGGTGGTCTTCAATACGAGGCTTGGCTTTTTGGGTACCTCTTTAGACAAAGAGAAGTCAGAATTTCTTGCAGCCACGAAAGATTTTTTCTCGGTCATAGCTGCCGGTTTAAGCGGCAAAATTATGACGTACAAGTGGTATAAGAGCCGGGTATACAGAAAGATGGATAATTGCATAAAAACCATCAAACAGTGAGTAAACAGATTTTCGTTTGTTTGAATTACTCTTCAGGTAGCATACATTTTTTTATAAATAACAATTGTTTTGTATGTATGTGATTTAGTCTGTTTTAAACGACTACTATCTAAAAGGATATGTAGATGGGTGTAAACATTAAATTTATACGAATTATTGGAATATTGAGAGTGTTGAATACAATCGGAGGGTTCATATTTCCGTTAGAGCTAATTTGCATCTTATTTCTTAAATCACACTAGTCCGGTCTTGTTTTATATTTTATTCTTTCTTTCTTATATCTCTAGTTAACGTGGTAATACATATATGACTTTCAAAGTATTGGTAAAAGCGCATCTAAAATGCAAATTTCTTTTATAATTTTATAATGTTATTGTAACATTTTATAAAATTTATAAAAAAATTTAAAAATGTATAATTTATTTGAGATATTTTTTAAATAAACTCATATTTTTAATACAGTTCTTTTATATCATTAATATAAAGAATAATTTAGTCTCACGAACATCGAATAAACCCAAGAAGTGCAGCTTGGCAATAGCTCTGTTGTTTCTTGTACAGATAGGAAGAACATCTATTCCATCAGTAGTGTATCCTTTTCATTGTGCCAGTTTGCTATATATCATTGTGCCAGTCTGTTATATATCATTGTGCCAGTCTGTTATATATCATTGTGCCAGTGGACTCATTGACGTGCCACGAACTTGAACCCGGACTTTCGGGGTAGCCGACGTACACTTTACACTTTGACCACTCCATCCCGTACAATTTAATATGTTGTGTGTCATTAATATGGTGGAGTTATATATAATATAAAGTTAAAAACGTGTAACATATTAAGAACTATTTATGAACGTAATATTAATCGATTCTTTATAATGAAGAGTTATTTCAATGATCTGAATATATTTCTAATATTGACTCGGTTTTAATGTAATTCAAGAAACTCAAGAAAACGTATTTCTGAAGCTTTAGCAACTATTGAACAACGAAAACAGGAAGGGAATTTTGATCCAGAAGAACCCAATCTACTTCTCTCCCTTGCAGCAGAAAAAGGACTTGACAAGGAAGACGTCAGTAGCATATTAGAAAGCCTTTACATGGCTGGGACTGACTCGGTGAGAACTGTTTGAAATTGTCAGTGTTTAAAATAACTATAAATACTGTCAATGTGGCTTTTCGTATTAATTATATTTTATAGACTAGCCTGTTGCAGAGGAATGGTACATAACAATTTATTATATACTAAGATATTTTTATTACAACATTTTTTTCAACAATTATTTTAATAATGTGGTTTAACATATAAATAATTAACAGTATAGTTAATTTTAATGTATGTACTGCATTTAGCAAAGTAGTATACATTTTTACTCTAGTTTTTATATTTGAGTAGAACTAATGGAATTTAATTTGTTAGGCCTAATCCATGTTACGAAATGTGAACGCTTTCATCTTATAACTCAAATATATATATATATATATATATATATATATATATATATATATATATATATATATATATATATATATATATATATATATATATATATATATATATATGCACTACACATTTAACGTTGTAGTGAGAAATGTAGATTTAAATCTTTAATTTAAAAGATTTTAAAAATCATTTACGTGGGCTAAAATCTACAGACAGCAAACAACCTTCAAGTTTTTTTCTACAACTTGGCTAAAAACCCAGACAAACAGGAAATTCTCAGAAAAGAAATTTTGGAAGTTGTTGGAGAATCCGGTGTTGTGGATGCTAAAGCCCTGTCAAAGATGTCCTACCTGAAACAATGCCTCAAGGAATCTTTCAGGTAAAACCTATCGTAAATCTTAATATGTGGATTGTTAAAGCCAATATAAAAGCTAATTTAAATGCTTATAGATCTAATTCCTTTTAAGACACTCAAAGCAGTCTAAAGAAATATATCGAGTAATTTGAAGCAGTAACTTTGGTACATTGTAATATTACAATTGTTAAATTAAAAATGGCATGAGTGCTGAAAAAGTAAATATCAAAAACAAATTCTGTTGCTGTTAATTCATACAATAATTGCTTAAAATAATTCTTATCTCCTCAGACTAAACTACCCAACACCCTCTGGCACCCTTAGAATTTTACCCAATGACATTGTTGTCAGTGGCTATAGAGTTCCAGCAGGGGTAAATATATAAATTTATGTTTAATATTTGAGTTATTCAGTTAAGTAATATTCATTAATGTTGTCAGTATTTTGAACAAAACATGCAAATAAAAACGTTTGATTTATTAAAAGATCGCGGTTTGAAATAATATTTTTGTTTAAATAATTTTTTTCTATGATATTCTATAAAATGTTCAAGTTATAAACATAGTGAATAAATTATTGAATATTCTTATTAAGGAAATGTCCAGATTTCAAACGATACCAAATAGTTTTTTAGGTAACTGTAGTTATTGTTTCTGTTTGGAATAAATAATAACAAAATATAAATAAAAATGCGTTAAATATGCTGGCTTGGTTAGAAAATAAAATACATTTGAATCTACTCTAGAAATTTTACTCATCTTTTTCTTGATACATTTTTCGTACAGAAATCGTTCCCTTATGAAAAAAATAGATTAATAATATGAAAGAAAATTTGACCACATTACTGCAATATTCCAATAATTTATTGCTTTGAAGCACATGCATCATGAATTTTCTGTTTTTGGTGTTTTAAAGGATTGGGTTAGGGTATTACAATTTGTAAAGGCTGCCAATGCAAATACTTCTACGGGTATAATTTTGTTTTGATAATCGGAAGCATCAATAAATAATCTCGAAATATTATTATAATATTTTATGAAAGCTTGAAAATTATTCATTAGAAATTGTAGTATAAGTTTACCTCCTGTAGCATTTTCAAGTTATCGAAAAGAGAGCACGGGGTTAAGTACTGTTCAAATGTTGCATTAATTTTTAAACAATGGAAAAAATAGTGTAAACTCCAAAACAACTATATTTATATTAACGTCTTCCTCAGACTGCTTTTCTTTTAGGCAACAAAAGAGCCTGTAGGACTTATTTTGATGACCCAGACAAGTTTATCCCAGAGAGATGGACCAGAGCAGACGATGGTCGTAAACAGGACAACACAAACAGCATGGCGGTTTTACCGTTTGGTCACGGGCCGCGTAATTGTATTGGTCAACGATTTGCTGTTCAGGAGATTTATCTGGCCACGTCTAAAGTAAGATGAAAACATCTCACATAACTCAACATCCTTTGATACAAAACTTATTCAGCTTTACCTCATTTGAAAAGTGATGATTAAAATGACATATACTATTTAATGTTTTTTCTGAACAGGTTCTCCAGAAGCTGAAGATAGAAGTAGACCCCGAATCATTGAACACAGAATTTATCTACATTGGTTTTATTGACACAAAGTATCCAATCAGATTCAAATTTACAAAAATTTAAACTGGTTTGCAAATAATTCTTTAACAGATGTTACATTTGCTGCAATGGTTAGATTTTAAAATTATAAATTGTGTAGAGGAAAAAAATTATTTTAATTAAAATTAAAGCGTGTTTTAATTGTATTTACGGACTTTAATAATTTACAGAGTATAAACAAACGTAAATAATTTTTTTTTAATTTCTGTTTGAAGATTATAAAATAAAACGTGTTCTTATTTCGTAATCATCTCAGCCAAAGCAATGAGACTTATTTTACGTACAATTAGTTAATTCAACTTCAACGTCGAATCTATATATATATATATATATATATATATATATATATATATATATATATATATATATATATATATATATATATATATATATAAAGCAATGTATGTGTGTGTGTGTGTTTGTTTGTTTGTCTGTCCTTTATGCATTACTACACCTCTCATCACATCGCCGTGAAACTTTGGGAAGTTGTTGAGAATATTCCTGGGGAGGTTTCTGCGAAAAAAAATTTCAAATTCGCAGGGGTGGCGCCCCGGCAGGGCGCGATTTGTTTTTCTCAATATACGTATATAAAAATAAAAGTCGATTTTGGTTTTACATCGTTCATTCGATAGCCATGAGACTTTGGGGAGTTCATTATACCACTCTAAGGAAGGGTTCTGTAAAAAAATAATTTTTAATTTCGCAAGGGCGGCGCCACGGGAGGGTCCGATTTATCTCTATATACGGTATATAAAAATAATAAAAGTGAATTGCAGTGACACCGTTCATCCGATAGGCATGAAACTTTGGGGAGTTCATTATACCACTCTTGGGAAAGGTTCTGTGAAAAATCATTTTTAATTTCCCAAGGGCGGCGCCACGGGAGGGTGCGATTTTTCTCTATATACGGTATATTTTAAAAAATAGTCGATTTTGGTGTGACACCGTTATCCGAAAGCCATGAGACTTTGGGGGAGTTGATTAGAACAATTCAGGGAAGGGTTCTGTAAAAAAAATTAATTTCGCAAGGGCGGCGCCACGGGAGGCTGCAATTTTTCTCTATATACAGTTTATAAAAACAAAAGTCTATTTCGGTTTTTACATCGTTCATCCGTGTACCATGAAACTTTGGGAAGATGATTAGATCACTCAATGTTAGGGTTCTGCAAAAAAATATTGTTTAATATTGCAAGGGCGGCGCCCCCAGATGGAGAGATTTTTTTTTTCTCTACACACGGTATATGTAGGGTACAACTTTCGTCAATACACGGTTTGGCGCTCAGAGTTTTAGAGCGACTATGTTGGCACTTGGCACCCGTTAATCGAGCGTCCTGCATAGCGAGTAAGGGGTACTACTATACTCAGCGGTAAAACTACAACAGTCTTCTAAAAATAACTTTGTAACGCGAGGAAATCCTTCTGTACAGTTTCGTCACCTTGCCAAAGATGAAAAAATAACTTTTTGAATATGAGGAGCCTACTGTAGAGTTTCGTCACTTTGCGAATGATGCAATAAGCATCTACTATTAGACAATCCAGTCAGAAATTGAGATTGAGCATCTAATAATAGACCATTAGTAACGCTAGCATATTGCATCAGTCACACTGATATTTAAAACACGTCAAATAATTTTTTTTACGTGTTAAAGAAAAAAATCCTGTTCATTTGTGTCACTTTAGCGAATGACGAAATCTGCATCATTATTAACAGGATGCTATTAGGCCGATGGCGCCTGATAGTTTTAAAGAGCCAGGTGTCGTACGCCGCGCCTATGCGGTAGTGTAATCGGGGGGTGGGGGCCCTGAGAGCGCCCTTCTACGTCTCTGACACAGAGGCGGTCACCGAAGTGTGTTCTACCATATTATTTCGGTGAGTGATTAATGTACACTCAATGTTTTCAGGCGGTAGTGTAGGTAAACCCGTGTCCTGATATTTATGATCCAAGAACAGGCATTGTTTACATTTAAATAACTCATTTTTAGAAATGAAGGTCACGCGTCTAAGAACATATGATTGGTAACGCGTTGGTGAAATCCTTCTAATATATTTCGTCAAACTTTCTTCTATCCCCGCGGCAACGCGCGGGGGTCGGGTACGCTAGTTAATTATAAAACTCCCCAATATTAATTATTAGTTAATTTAAATTCTAAATACTTTTGCGTTTATACTCTTATCCAAGATTGCTGTGGTTTAATGTAAAACAGCCCGTATTGCACTTTTTAATAGAATAGGTTAACCATTAGTAAACTATTTATTTTGATGACTTGTTTTTTATTAAGTCTCATTTTAAGGTTGTGGGCTTATAAATACCCTTAGGTTATAAATTCAACTTTAATTATGTATTATATTGTACTATATAAATTGATTTTGTATCTCAAATGGTATATATCATTTTCTTAAGTTCAACAATATCAACATGAACAATAAAATTGTAAATAAACATTTATGTAAGGAATATTATGTAATGAACAAATGTAACGCATTAACGGAACATAGCTTTATGTGTGATTTTCGCTTAATCGCATTGACTTAATTACCAAATTAATGTTTTAAAATTTTAAATCAATTTGAACAAATAAAAAAGATATATCAAAATATAACTTCTTCGTCAAATTGATATTTTTACAATTTATTATTTTACTCGACTTGCACTTATAATTTGATTTGTGTACTAGAGTAACTTTCTTTTTCTCCAATTTACTTTAAGATAATGCAGTGAGCATTCGCTACATTGGCTTAGCTGTTCTACAAACACACGCGTGAAACAAGGAAAACATTTTCTCGGGGAATAGCTGAAATATGTTCGATTAAATTAATACAAGATAGTAACAGAACAGCAAAAGTAATTTGACAAATGGTTACAGTGTTGGCTCCGGTAATTTTCTTTACATGAGTTGGGAGAGAAGAAAGACTAGGAATGATTTATACATCTAAAATTAGATGACCACCGGAGGAGTTTTTTAGGGGAGGGGAGGAGGAGTTAGGAAGAGAAGGTGGAGGGATGGTGGGTGGAGGATGTAGGAGGTGGAGGGGCCTAGGGGGAGTTGGTAGGAGGGAGCTAAAAATCGGGGTAGGATGAGGAGCAATAATTTATCTTCTGGATATAAATAGGCTTTCATTTTCTTATATTAACAAACAAAATAAAAATAAGCAATAATCAAAGAATCCTAGAGCCCGTTATGTTAGTTTGATAGCTAACACCCACACAACGGATACGACACTGTACATGTAAACACTTTGAAACCTTCGCCAACAACGCGCTACGCAGTAAACGGTTTTGATAAATGTATGTCAGGGTTATCAGCCTTTACATGTTTTTATTTTCATTTTAAATGAAGTTAGGTATTGTTCTAAAGGAAAATGAATATAAAAAAATACCTCCACAGCAAGCGTGGAACAAAAGCTTGTGCGCTCTATATACACCAGAAAGTATGTATGTTGTGAATTGATGATTTTTTTTTTTAATTTAAAACCGTGTCTAAATGTAAATACTATCAAAACATGAGCTTCTTTTTGAAACGGCAACTATAACCTGTTTAGAAACTATATATCAGAGCAGCAACTTTGTTTCTCTGTTTTAGATTTCATCTTTAGCAATTAAGTAATTCTTTAATCAATTAATCAAACATTAGAAAGTATTCTATAACAGTATACTTTTTAATGAGCTAACTTGTAGGCATACATAGGTTATCATTATATCATTATTTTACAAAAACAAAAAAATAGTCTTTTTAATTAAATAATTTTATTTAATTTCATCTTAATTAAACGGATGTAATTTAAAAATAAAATGTGTATACAATATATTTTCCAGTTTATGAACATAAAGCGTGAAGGAAAAAAATGTTTAGAAAATTTAACTTTATTGTAAGGTCAGCTCCATGCCATACCACTCACCAGCCTCTACGATGGATGTCAATGGTTAGTAGTGCCAACAATATTAAAATAATATAATAGTTTTTAAAAAGTAGGTTGTAGTAGGTTTTATAAGAACTTTTTTTAATGACGTCACACTCATTACTCTGAGGGTCTGGCTTTCGTGAATATAAAAAGAGAAGACTGAGATCAGAGGCGTAGCGAGGGCGGGGCGGGGGGGGGGTGCGGACCGAACCTGGTGACACCATTTAGGGGGGTGACACCAGGGCTAAAAAAAATTGCTAAATTTGCATAAAAATACATTTGCCAGTTCCATTAATTATCAATTAAAGTTAAATTTAAAAAGCCTATTAAAGTACGAATCGACACTTATTACAAGAGGGTGGGGGTGACAATTACGTAAACGTGTTAACTATATAGAAAACAATGCTACATCTAAATCCAACTGCATTATTAACAGACTATAGATAAACATCCTAACTATTAAGTCACATATAGCCTTATACATATATATATATATATATATATATATATATATATATATATATATATATATATATATATATATATATATATACTTTGTTTCTTGGGGGGACGTGACACCACGGAGTGCCGCACCGGGTGACACCCATCCTAGCGACGCCACTAACTGAGATCGATAAACATCAACATTTCGCAATTTTTCAATAAAAAATTTAGATCTATAACAAAAGAATTTTAGCAGTCATTTTACGTATTTAAAACTTTTCTAAAAACCTCGTTATTACTTCGACTAAGATTTATTTTTCGAAAAAAAAAATTAACCTTCCAAATTTGACATTATTATTTCACTATTTGTTTCTTATATACTTGAATGAAAACATATTAATTAACACTTTCGAACGTAATTGCTTTTTAAAAAAGAAACGAGCAATATGTGGAGAGGGGGTTGGGAGTGGAAGTAAAGGTATAATATCGAAACTTCGAGACTTACACTTTTAGTGATAAAGTGGAATAAGTCAGAAGTGGAGGTAAAAATAAAATATATTAAAGACACTTCGGACGCACATTCGGGAAATTTAAGTTAGGCAAAAGTTAATACAAATTAAATCACCAACTATTTATTATACTTACCTTTCGTGTGAATGTACAATACTGACAAGAGATAAGCTGCTCAACAGTGTGCATGTCAAGTATTGGCCCGTAGTTCGAGTTCAGCTTGGACAAACAAACACAATGTATCTTAAAGATATGGAGGCTGTCTTCAGAAACGAGGGCTAATATCATTATTGACCACTAGTTGAGATTTTTAAAATGTGCTTTTATCATCTTCCATTTAACGCTATATAATTTTTTCACACGAATGGTATATATATATATGTGTATATATATATATATATATATATATATATATATATATATATATATATATATATATATATATATATATATATATATACATATATATATATATATATATATATATATATATATATATATATATATATATATATGTATATATATAATATAGGCCTATATATATACAGGCTAATATATACGGGAATATATAAGTCTATATATATAGGCATATATAAGTGTATATATATATACTTATATATATACATATGTATATATATGTATACATATGATATAAACATATGCATTTATAAGTATATATATATATATATATATATATATATATATATATATATATATATATATATATATATATACATATATATATATATATTGATCAATTATATATTATATATATATATATTATATATATATATATATATATATATATATATATATACATATATATATATATATATATATATATATATATATATATATATATATATATATATTTATATTCCAAATATGATCTTCATTTACTATACCATATATTTAATGTACAACTGGGTTTTTGGCAGCCTTATAACAACCACTATTCATATTTCCTGCAATAAGGGAGTCTATCCAACAACTCCGTCCCTGCCGGTTCCATTACCTCAACAGTTGACCTACATAGCATGCACTCAACTCCCCGTAACCCCTGCTAGTCTAGTGAACACAAACAAGACAGCCCAACAGTGCAACAATTGTTACAGTTCAGCATAGGCGGGTCCTAGTATGTTATTTTAGTTTTAAAATGTGTACATGTAAAAAATGAAATATTTTGTTATAAAATCGCACATGCATATTAGACACGTTGTTGTATATACGGAAGATACTTATTTTAATAATATTTCATATAGAATTCTATGGCTAGGGAATCATTAATGTTTCAAACAGCATGTACAATTTTGCAATAGAATCACACAGACTATTAAAAATCTAACCATAGTCCTTTGGACAAACGTACATCAATTTACTATAATCCTAAATCAACTATAAAACTATCCTCAATGAAAATGTTAAGTACGTAATCTCATTCTCTCTCTCTCTCTCTCTCTCTCTCTCTCTCTCTATATATATATATATATATATATATATATATATATAATATGTATATATATATATATATATATATATATATATATATATATATATATATATATATATATATATATATTCGATCTATTTTAGCACCACTGGTTTTACACGAAGGTTGACCCACATTCAAGAGACGACTCTGCCTAGGTAAATATAGCTGCATGTTGTGCTATGGTGTCTCAAGGTCAATCTATGCTGCTGCGAGTGCGTTAAGCTGGAAACTGGGTCAGTGGTAGGAAGACACGTTCGCTGTGGGACTGTACACTGAAAATCTTTAAGGTAAGATGTTTGGTCTGCTAGTTGTTGTTGTTTTTTTTATAAAAATAGACGTTGTGTGTTTATACTTTAGTGTAATAAATGTGTACATTCTTTGAAACAATCTTTAAATAAAAGATATTTTTAAGTTGAAGTTATCGCAGTGTTGTGGTAAAATGCGTTGTAAAACATGAAGTATATATATATATATATATATATATATATATATATATATATATATATATATATATATATATATATATATATATATATATATATATATATATATATATATATATATATATATATATATATATATATATATATGTGTATATTTAAAGAAGGGAATCAATTGTGTGAATTATTCTTAATCTATAAGATGCATAAATTGTTATTATTTGTATTGCTTTTACTTAAAGTAATAGATACTTTACCAGTAGACCATACTTCTCATATACAATTTATTTATTTGAAGACATCAAGTTTGTTTTACATACATCTCCTCAGTGGCGTAGCGAGGTTCGGTGTCACCCGGTGCGGCACCTGATGGTGTCACCCCCCCCCCCCGTAAGAAAAAAAAGTATATATGTATATATATATATATATATATATATATATATATATATATATATATATATTATATGTATATATATATATGTTACGGTCAAAGCCCGAAGTCGGCCAATGCTAGGATTGGCCGGCCAATCCGCGCATTGGCCAATATCGCCTCCCATAGGTCGGTCAAAGTCCGAAACTTTGCTTGATTTCGGCCTTTGGCCGGCCAATCCGCAGACTGGCCATGGTAGACCGGCCAAAGTCTTAATTAGAAGATCATCTGGCTAGGGACGACCGGCCAAAGTCCGAATTAGAAGATCATGAGCAGATTTTGGTTTATTTTTATGCCGTAAGGATCACGAAATTAAGTCTGACGATAATAAGAGCAGTTTTTCGTGAAGAATTGAAAACTCACTTCTAGCATACAGTTGTTTTAGAACACCATGTGCCGTTCCTGATCAGTAGAAACCACCCTCGACGCTCATGACAACTGCAATCACGCTTCGGGGATCACCATGACCTCTGTCAACATCTGGAAAACGGATGCGTACATTGTCACCCAATTCGCCACCTTTAAATTTTGTATTTGATGTTTTAAGCATCTTAGCACCTTGAGTTTGCAAGCCAGTATGAGCTGCTAATCTGTGTTCCATGATGTCTTGTTTGTTGTGACACAATCTGCAGGTAATGTTCCCTCCGTACCCTTCGTCTGCTTCATTGGGTATTCCACAAATAGCATGGACATCGTTGCCACAGGATCCAAAAGAATGAGCTGCATTACAATGTTTTTCACAAACTATATAGAATCTGTTGGCCACATTATTGTCACGCAACTGGTCTGGGCGTTCCGCCACGGCAGTAGATGTGTTAGCTGAGGATGTCGTTGCATTTATGGCAACCTCCATTTCTTGTTCAATGTTCTCAAGTTCTTCCTCAGTAACTATTTTATCGAGAGCCCATATATGGAAACGAACATGGATTTACATTTTTTTCTTTTGACAGCCATCTGCTATGTCTGTCTCATGGTCTGACGGCCCTTTTGATCCATGTCGCCTTGCATATTGAATGCTATACAAACAAGAGCTAAACAATACGTTACTCTCAATGAAAACGCACCCAGAATAATGAAAATGCGATCACAACTTAGTCTAGATAGAACATTGGCCAGGACATCCCGGCCAGTGCGCGCATTGGCCGGCCAATGTACAAAATACGCTGTCAAGTTTAAGCGCTTAGGACTTTGGCCAGTACGTCCCGGCCAGTGCGCGCATTGGCCGGCCAATGTACGAAATACGATCTTAGTGCTAAGTTCTTCGGGCTTTGGCCAAGAGAGCTGGCCAATGCGCGGATTGGCCGGCCAATCCGGGGTTTGGCCGTACTTCGGGCTTTGACCGTAACATATATATATATTATTATATATATATATTCCATATACACTTGTAAGTGTGTGTATACGCATATATATATATATGTATTCAAATAGTTTTTTTCTGCTGGATGTATTTGTTTTTTTAACCCTCCCCCCCCCCCATACATGGAATAACATATAGCTTATTAAGATTTTCAACCAAACAGTTTTCCTAGGCATATATATTGCAACGTTGAGTTGATGTAACTCGTCGTCTCCCCCCCCCCCCCTCCCTCCCCAGTCACCCCCACTGTGATTGCTGTAAACTCTGCTCAGCTAATACTAACGATTTGTATCTATATTCGGTGATAAATTCAGCTGGATGTTGCATATTTTCTTTATCATTAGCAGGTTTACGTCATGGTGTCACCCCCCCCCCCCCACACCTCCACCGGTGTCGGGATTTGTCCCCTTTGCTCTTAAAGACTATTTAATTTACTCTAATTAATCATTTAATTAAGTGAAATTATCATTTTTCTGTATTTTTTTCGCTATTTTTTGCCTTGGTGTCACCCACCTAAATGGTGTCACCCGGTGCGGTCCGCACCCTTCGCCTTCCCCCCCCCCCTCGCTACGCCCCTGCATCTCCTAAACATTTGCTTTTAGTTACTTTTTTGTTTTATTTCAGCGAACTTAGTCGTAAGTAATGATGATAAGATATGCCATTGTTTCAAGGGTTATTCCAAACGTAATCAAAAACCAACCAATTAGATGGACGTCAGTGGCCAGTAGTGCTAACAAAGATGAGGTGAAACCTTTTGAAGAGATCCCAGGTCCGAAAGGACTTTACAACTTGCCTGTCATTGGATCTGTCCTGCATTTCAAACCGTTCGGTAAATCTGAATGTTCTATTGTTTATTATTAATTAATTTATTGCAGTGACTATTAACAATAAAGTATAAGCCATAAAACATTAATTTATAGAATTCTACTCAAGATGGCATGTATTTAAATCACTGGCGTAGGCAAAATTTCATGTATATATAAATATATATGTATATATAAATATAAATATATACATATATATATATATACATATACATTTATATTTATATTTATATATGTGTGTTAATATATATATATATATATATATATATATATATATATATATATATATATATATATATATATATATATATATATATATATAGGAGCAGCACATTAACCACGTTTTAATCACCTTAGTGTGTGTAGGCCTATGTGTAACTGAGTGTCTAATTGAATGTATGTTACAAACAAATTCAATGTAGCGAGTATAGAGAGTATACAAACAAGTTATCAGCAATCAATACAGGTAGGTCAACAAGGATTTGTGACTTCGCAAGCTTAAGTAGCCCAAGCTATTGTTTATCCATGGGGTCAGGCGTTAAGATAATAATAGTGAAGGATACTTTTCACGAAGGGTAGCAGCTTCTTAAAGAGAATATTTTGGCCTCATTAGCAGGAAGTGAAGTGGATGTTGTGGTCGGATAGTGTAACACTCCACTGCTAACCAAAAAATCTCGAGTTCGGATCGTGTGCCAGACTAGAGCCTGCAGTACGTCTTTGAATCCACTCAGCTCTAATAGGTGCTTGACTCGCGTTTGGGAAAGTAAATGAAATTGGACATAGTGCAGACCACACCATCCCTTTTATATACCGTGGCCCTGCTGATCTGGAGACCACAGTCCGGATTATTCACGAAGTTGGACTTGTTGTCTAAATCCTCCACCATATTCTCAATTAAGAACGAAGAAGAAGAAGATATACCGTGGCCAACAAACATATAAACACTACTTCATCTACCCTATGAATCGTTAGGTCTGAAAATGAATTTTCGCGTTTAGAAGCAGCAGTAGCTCTTATTGACGATATTTAAAGGCTAAATGTAATTGAAAAAACTCTGCATTAAAATTAATTAATTACGTATTCCCCCCCCCCACCACCACCACCACCATCACGTGTGTCTTATTGTTTCAGGTAAATATACACCTTATACAACACACAAGCTTATTGACAGCTTACACGAAAAGTATGGGCCTGTGGTTCGAGTCCAGCTTGGAAGAAAATGTGTCTTGTTGGAGGACATAAAAGACATTGAGACGGTCTTCAGAAATGAGGGCAAATATCCAAACAGACCTGGAATTGATATTTCCAAAGTTGTTTTTGAGAGGAATGGATTTAAGTTAGGACTTGCACAAATGTAAGACAACCATTTATTTTTAAAAATACTATTTTATGGATGTACCGTTTATTTGTGTACGTTACGATTTGGGTTTTTTGTCATTATTTTTGCAATTTCGTCTGTACGTCTGTGTGTCTGTCTGTGTAAATGTATACGTGAGTACCTATTTCAGCTATGTTGAAGAAGTTTCATATTTTTTTACTGTTGTATTAAAAAATCTATCAGAAAGATGTGGAGATCACCCCTCTTTTTAACAACACAAATCTTTTCAAACACATTGTCTTTTTGAACCTAATCAATTTTATATTTAGCTTACTTTTTGTTTTCTACTCTCTTATACTAGCCAAGGAGAAGAATAATTTTAAACACGTTTTAATTATATTTTATCATACTAGCCAAGGAGAAGAGTGGCATGCCCTGAGAACTCCAGTCAACAAAAGACTAATGAAAGCTGACTCGGCCTATCATTACCTGGTCCCACAGAACGCCGTAGCTGATGATTTTGTTAACATTTTGGCCACTAAAAAGTTGACACCGGATGAAATGAAAGATCTTTTCTTTCGTTTTGCATCTGAAAGTTAGTGTTAGCTTTGATAGTAATCAGCTTCCGTTGGTTTACAAAATCAAATATAAAAATCTTAAACATAAATGCTAGAGATGATTCTTTTGCTATGTCTCTGAATGCATAATGTATAAAACCCGATTAATTATAAGAGAATCGTGTTTTCTTTTGTAAAAATCTATAATTTATAACATTCATCACTTAACAAACTTAAAATTTTTGTTTTTAAAAACTATATGGTATAATTCTATATTCGTAATTTGCTTTGTTTTGGCTCAGTATTTGTATTGGTTATATTAATACAAAATCTTCGTGCAGGTATAGCAGTGGTGACATTTAACACCAGACTGGGGTTCCTGGATCAGTCGTCAGATAAGGAGTCATCAGAGTTTCTTGAAGCCACTAAAAGAGTTTTCACTTTAATAGCTGATGCTGTGAGTGGAAAAACGTTCTCCTATAAATGGTACAAGAGCAAAACCTATATGGAATTGGAGAGATCTTTCTTTGCCATTCGAAAGTAAGCCAAAGTTTTATGAGAATTTCTAATAACTAATCTTTTTTAAACGTCTTGGTCATAAATATATATCGAAAGTATTTTCTAACATTTCTAAAAAAACCATTGAAATTTATAAAGAGAACCTAAAAACTAGTGGGTTGTACTCTGTTTCTAGCCAGCAATCATGCATGCCCTCTTTAACACATTTCTTTGGCCTCTGTCTGTTTAGCTCATGTTTCATTATTAATAAAATATTTGAGTACAGAATTTGCTTGTATTTATATGAGAAAAAACCCACCGAATCCTTTAAAGGTTTTTTTTCAGATTTATTATACTTTTACTATGTTTTTGAACTTGCATTTTAAAATGTATTTTAAACTTAACAAATTATTCGACATCTCAAAATAATTTTAATAAGTGATATATTTCTTATCTTAAAATCTGCAATATTATTTTCCTAAGAAATTCGAGGAAACATGCTTTAAAAGCACGTGAAATAATTGAACAACAAAAGAAAGATGGAACGTTAAACCCAGAAGAACCAAACTTGCTTCTCTCCCTTGTATCAGAAAAAGGTCTACAAGATGAAGACGTCAGTAATTTACTGGACTCACTTTATATGGCTGGTACAGATTCTGTGAGTTCACTTGAATATTATCGGTATATTTCCTAAACGGTTATGAAGTGATCAAAACTCTAAACACATCATAATAGTTTTAACACCCCTCCCCCCCCCCCCACCCGACTCCCCTTTTTTTTCAGAAAATAAACCCGTTTTTGTTTTTGTTTTTTCGTTTCTTTTTTTATTTGAGTCTAAATGGAAATTAGAACCAATCTTCTAACTCGCAAGCCATTAGAAAGAGATTTTACAATTTCTTTACACGTTCGACAATAAAGCTTTAAAAAAAACATTTAATTTCGTAATAAACTGATACATTAAAATAATAACATTTGCAACAAAAAAAAACAAATCAATAGAATACTTAAATACCCGATTGAAATTATTATCTAGCGCATTCATTTATCTATGTGTTTGAAACAATACTTTTACGTTCATTGCATTTCAAATCTACAACCGCAGATTCAATCAAGTTTTAAAAAAAAACTAGCATTACTATAGTTAGTGCAAAAAAAAAATGTTGGTTTTTATTTTTATTTTTTTAAATGTGATACTGTCTGTCCACAGACAGCAAAGAACCTTCAGGTTTTCTTCTACAACTTGGCTAAAAACCCAGACAAACAGGAAATCCTCAGAAAAGAAATTTTGGAAGTTGTTGGGGAATCCGGTGTCGTTGATGCTAAAGCCCTGTCAAAAATGTCCTACTTGAAACACTGTCTCAAGGAATCTTTTAGGTATGATCTAATCAGCATCAACATTCAAAACAGACAAATGAAGATGGGTTAGCGTTGGTGCAGCTATAGAAAAAAGCTCATGACGAAATTGTTTTAAAAACTCTTAACTGTGGCCTAAAGCTAATACCTGTATCTTATTTTAAATTATTTTTTATTCTTACAGACTGAACTACCCAACCGTAACAGGTGTTTTAAGAATCCTGCCGAAAGATATTGTTGCCAGTGGTTACAACATTCCTGCTGGAGTAATATTTTTTTCCTGTATATTTTTCATTAAAAACAAAAAAGCTCGTATTCATCATTTCTAGATTTTGAAATTTTATCAAAGATTACCTATGGCTATATTAAAAATATTAGCCATTAAGGGGGTGGCTTTTTAGAAAGTTAACGTAATTTTAGAAAAAGTAAAAAAAAAATATTTCTTTAAGATGGTAAAATACGACCTAAATATTAAAATGAATATCGGACTTACCTATCTTTAAAATATTGTTTTTAAGCACGGCTTATTTTTCGGAATGTAGAAATACATGTGTTTTTATATTATTTCAATTTATTTTCTACAGACTACAGTATTAATGAGCAACCCAAGAGCCGCCAAAAAAGGCTTTGAAGACCCAGACAAGTTTATCCCAGAGAGATGGATGAGGGCAGATGACGGTCGTAAACAGGAAAACACAAACAGCATGGCGGTTATACCGTTTGGTCATGGACCACGTAACTGCATTGGCAGACGTTTTGCTGTTCAGGAAATTTATCTGGCAGCTTCTAAAGTGAGGATTTATTCCCAAATTTTAACTAAATAACAATCCAAATGTTAGGATCATAAAATTCAAGATTATTTTTCAATTTGTGTTTAATTACAGGTTCTTCAGAAGCTAAAGATAGAAGTGGAACCGGAATCCTGGAATACAGAATTTATCTACACAGCTTTCATTGACACGGAGAAACCTATCAGATTTAAGTTTACAAAGATTCAGTAGGTTGAATTGTGCAAGAGCATTATTTACTTAAACTGTAAAAAAACAAATTATTTTTGATTGAAAACAAAAGAAAGTTTTATTAAGTATTGTTATTGATAATTTTTAAATACAAATTTTATTGTATTTTGCCAAAGATTATATTTTATTCAGCGTTATATTATCTATGTAATAGATTTACTTAATGTTGAATGTTTAGTTTGAGTGTTAGTGTTAACAGTATTGAATTAAAATACAATGTGGTATTCTTTACAAATCTAAACGCTAATTGCAATATTTTCTTAAAATAATAAAGAATTTTAAAACACCATTGCTGTAAGTATCAATACTTTAATAATAAATACGGGATATGAAATTCATGTGTTCTTTACATATTGCTCATTTTTAATACTATTAGCAATAATTTTTCAACGCGAAAAGATATTTATAAGAAAGTAGAGGTGATTAGTTCTAAAAAATGTTACATACGATTGTAAACGTATTTTATATTTCTTGTTGTAAATGTGTTTTTAATACTCCATACTATGAATGCATATTGAATTAATGTTACTCATATTTCAGTTCATGTGATGTAATATGTCAAAATACGAACTAAATCAGAATTTTTTTTTAAATATCTCCAAATTTTTATCGTTTGTGTTGGTCACTCATACAATAATATGCCTTCGATATTGACAAAAAAATGTAATAACGCAGATTATCTTTAAGAGCACGTTTCTTTTCTGTGTGTTATACCCTCTATACAGCGTGCTATAAGGTAGAGCGTACCTGGACGTCTGGAGTTATATTCTGGGCTTAAGTCTGAAGAATGTCCCTTAGTCCATCTAATGGTGATAGGAACCTGACTTCAGATAGGGAATGAGATGGTTACTGACTATAATATAACAGGTGAACTTTACTTAATCTGCACCGTGTACCGCCAGGTTTGAAATAGTATCTTTACTTATAGCATTTAATAAAATTTGTGTAACGGTGGCTTTTATGTGCAATGTAGTATAGGGGGTTGATGCTTGCATAGAGCAATGTTATATATTACTGCCTTTAGTTTATTTTGTAAAACTTCTATAACTCTAAGAATTCTACTATTCAGAAAGGTAAGACGAATAAGTTGACACTACTGGCAAAGACACTGCTTCTTTAAAGAATAACTTAGAGATTATCTTGTTGTTTTAATGTAATTATAGTCTGAGATGTAAATACATTAAATTAATTGTTTAAAAACTTCAATTGTTCATTATTTGCTGTACTATTTAAGCTTTACTTTTAGTGGGCTACCTGAAGTCTCTTTTTTTAATTTCTTACAAGATTTTATTTTACTCGTTTCTTATACCGTTTGGTCACGGGCAGAGGCGTAGTGAAGGAGGGGTGCGGGGCGGGAGGTACATATGTCCCCGGGCGCCGACCTTAGGGGGCGCCAAAATGGGTTGGAAAAACAAATTAAAATCTCATTTAGCTTCATTTTTACTTTCTCGTATATACGAAGTATAGAGAAAGTCTTGTAATCGTGCAAAAAAAAAATCGAGATTTTTACAAATCTCGACGTTTTACACCTCACTGATAAATATAATTTTGCAATCTAGTCCGTATGTCTGTGTGTCAGTCTGTGTGTCTGTCTGATTGTGTGTAAACACGATAACTTGAGTACCGTTACAGCTAGGTTGATGAAATTTTATATATAAGTATTCTATCAAAATCGTAGATCCTGATCAACTTTTGAGCGATTTCCGATAACCGGAAGTGGTACTTTTTCTGCTTTGAATTTTTCAAAAGCCTATAACTTGAGTACTATTTCAGATAGCTAAATGAAATTTCACATGTAAGTAAAAGATGTTATTCTCTACCGTCTGTCAAATTTTGAGTAATTTCTGTTGACCAGAAGTACTAATTTACGCTATTTCCGATTTCTCAAAAAACGCATGTAAATTTATAAAGTACTAATAATATTGCGCACTATTATGCACATTTTGTTTTGGCGTTCGATTGGTGCGCAATGTTTTTTTCTATGAGATTCTATTCTATTTTTAAAAGTTTAAGTAATTAAAAATCATGTCTATATTCCAAGTTATATAAGAATATTCGAGAAAGTTTAGGAGAGATCACTCCCGGTTTATTATATTATAAATACAAAAATATATGGGGGGGGGCAATCGAAAGTTTGAGGGGAGGTGTAAATTGAAAGTTTGAGGAGGGGGGTGCAAATCGAAAATTACAAGGTTGATTCCCGAGGAGGGCGCCAAATTGAAAGTTTGTCCCCTGGTCACAGGAACACAGAATTTATTTACACGACATTCATTGACACGGAGAAACCAATCAGATTTAAGTTTACAAAGATTCAGTAGTTAATTTGTAATTGTGTAAAAGCGTTATTTACTGCATAACTTTTAAAATGAGAAAAACACTTAAACAATTTTCTTACATAAACTTGTATTAAAAAGCTAAATTCCAATTGCTCATATATCTTGCAGTGTATTGTACTATTTTTATTTTTAATAATATTTGTAACCATATTTTTTAATACACCGCAATGTGTTATTCACTTTACTTCTTATGGTTTTTAGTGGGAGGGTGGGGGTATTTATTTTTGTTGTTGTTTTCAGTTGTGTAAATAACATAAATAACCTCTAAATTCGTAGTGTAAAAAATAACTTGTTTAATGTAACTATACAAAGGTATCTTTTTAAAATGTCAGTGTTGCAAGTACAATGTTTCTTGTCCAAATATCTTTTACCTGTTAAAAATTTCTAATTACCAGGGCGTTCAAATATATACATATATATATATATATATATATATATATATATATATATATATATATATATATATATATATATAACAACGTTTAAGCAATGTCAAGTTGTTTACAACAAAAATATAAACGTTTATAACGGCTTTTTTATGTATTTAATTTATTAAATTTAGAAATTCGCAATTAAAATTATAAAATATAATTGCATTTATAAGTAATTTATAGACTTTAATAAAGTACAGATGTTGATTGTCTACCGTTGCCTTTTTTAATAAAGGAAAAGTATATTAACATAAATTATATTGATTGATATTGATGTTTAAAACAATTATTTTTAATAACCAGTTTTATATATCCGCTACAAAGGGGAAAAAATAAAATTAATGTATTTGAATATACGATAATGCAAAACTATTTTACTAACTAATAAGAAAAGCATTGGTTTAAATACTGAATTAATAACCGTTACTCACATTTTTAAAATACCTTTACATTGGTTTTAATTTATTTAAACAATGGTGCTTTATTACATAATTTAAAAACACATTTTTATTTCTACTAATATGTATATAACAGTTACTTACTGTAAACATTTATTTTTCAGAATATATAAACATGATTGAAACGAACAGGTTCTGACCAACGGCTGGATTACTCTGTCGGTTCAGAGACTATCGCTGGCTAATTTTTACTAAAATTTTCTAGGCTGATACCATACATATTATGGCAGGCAGCTAAGTTGTGTTGGTAGAATTAGTAGACCTCACATTACGTTACATTTGTTTTTCCAGTGGTTGTAGACGTCTATATTATAAAATGTCTCTTTAAGAAGGAACTAATTTCTCAGATGGTAAAAATATTTTTAAACGTGGAATTTTCAGGCGTCACTTGATATAAATAGAAGAGCTGTTAATTAAAAACAATTTAACAAAATACTTTAAAACAATACAATGAGACTTTTGTTAATCGATTGTTTGGTTTAATGACTCTCTATATCTCTCTATACTGCAATTAGAAATTAAATTATACACTACTATTTAAATAACTATAAAGAAAAGCGTGGGTCCAGTGTTTCTTACATTCTTTTTTCTCCGGGGGGGGGGACCTTGATATTTTTTTTTTATTAGTAAAAATAAAATTAATCGGACATTGGCTGTAAACGGAACACTATCAATTTAGTATACTTTCATTGATGTATTTAATTGTGATTTCAAACAATATGCTTTTATTAAAATGTAATATCACACACTTATTTTAGTTTTTATGATATTTCAAATTTGTAACATCTAATTTGTATAATCTTTGTTTTTGTGACTATTTTTGTAACCTAAAAATTGCATATTGTTATTTATTTTTTATTAGTAAGTAATGTATCATTATTTTGAAACTATTTAGTGTCAGAGTTGAAGGTGACCTCCCCTTAATGATTTAAATGTATATAGTATATGAACTATAGAAAAACAAAAATAGAAAAAAAAATTCATAAAAAACGTTTTAATAACAAGCTTTTATGTAATGATGCACTAAAAAGTAGAAAATAAATTATACACTACTATTTAAATTACTATAAAGAAAAGCGTGGGTCACTTTAGTACTTTAGTACCTATTGGATACCTTTACTAATATTTGAGAAGAGACCCACGCTTTTCTTTATAGTAATTTAAATAGTAGTGTATAATTTATTTTCTACTTTTTAGTGCATCATTACATAAAAGCTTGTTATTAAAACGTTTTTTATGATTTTTTTTTTCAGTACTTTACATGTTTTATTTACAATAGTGTTACATGACTAAAAACCATTGCGCGTCTATTGAACGTGATAGCGCAGCTATTAAACCTGATGGCGCAGCTATTGAACGTGATGACGCGTGTGGTGTGGTTGGATAGACATGCCTACTAATTCGGTCCAAATTTTAATTAATTCATAAAAAATTAATTAGGCATCCAATTAAGTAAAATTTAATTTCAGATTGCATTGTCTTCATGTCTTGACCCACGTGTCAAATGTGAATCGTATCGGTCAAGTAGAAGTGACTGAATTTTCACTCCAGCGTTTCGATCTAGACTGACGACTGACGACAGACTGTCGACAGACTGTCGACAGAGGAAGTGAGTTAAATAAAAGCTTGTAAAAAAGGTGATTATTATGAAACATTTTATGCGTGTTATTACTTGGGGAAAGTGTTTCTACCGGACTAAAATTTCCGAAGGGTGGACACCGTTAAAAGTATATATTTCTATATAAATTCCATTTCGTTCGGATGGGCGGAAGACTTTCCTCGGGAGGGGGGGGGGTCTACCGAAAAGGTGCCTGGAAGAAACTCTGCTTGCAGAGACACTAGGAATTCAGGTAGGCACAAAAAAAGAGGATCTATCACTAAAAAATTTTTACGGTTCACTGAAAAATTATTTCTTTTACTGGTATAAGAATTCAACTACCTTTTATATTTACTTTTTTGTTTTGCGTTTGAAATATCATTACATTTCATCGTAGGCGATTTCTAGCAGCCCTCCTAATCATGTTATTTTACCTTTTCTCATGGAACTATTAATGCGTAAATAGATTTTTATCATATTTTTAATGTTGCTTTATATATATATATATATATATATATATATATATATATATATATATATATATATATATATATATATATATATATATATATATATATATATATTAAAGGTATATCTGTAGGATATGTGATCGATCCAATTTCCGTTTGTGTTAAAACACAAGCGTTTCGTCATTCAATCCCAGCAAAACTATACTCGTCCCTATGTCATCGAGCTTTTACCCTCGTATTTTTCACATCACGCATAATCTATCTCAACAAAATAAAATCTCAAATTATACATACTCTCGAATTCACAAACGCTTTCCACTCTGAATTATCTAGATCACGACGTTAGCTCGATCATATGTGTCTGACAAGTTCACCGTACAGGCCTATATTTACGTTATTCGACAATACAAAGCAACCAACAATCCAGCAGTTTTACAGTTACACTTCATACCAATCTACCGTGCACAACACACTATTGTGATACCATAAGTAGAATAACCAACGGACGTATCGATTTTACTACTATACTCCTAAGAAATTGATCGATAAGATCAATTTATTTCTTAAACCACAGGCGTGATCAGAAACATATGGTAAGCAGCGATGAGTCGCCGTTTATGATGGACTGCTTAATAGTCGATGTAAAATCTGTATTCCAGAGAGGCTAAACTGTATTGTTCTAACGTTGTTGTTTTGTTTGGGGTTTTTTTTCTGCGACAGTCGCTGTTGGAGTTAGAATTAAAATGAGAGTTCATGCAATGATTCAGAATCGTGTCACAGTAGCACAGAGGCTTTTTTTTAACTATATCACTCTTCTAGGAGGAAGGGGTGGGTGTTCGGACTTTTGTGAAGAGTGGGGATGGGTGTAGGGGAAAAAAAGGGGGGGGGGGGGGGGTCCAGAAAGTGATGTATCAAACTAAAATTTAGCATTTATTTCGCGTTTTTTTTTATTAAATATTTGTAATGTAAATCGTTGTATCAATTTATCTGTAAACTTAACATCTGCCGAATTCAGCAATTTGGAAAAAACAACTCGCTGTTTTAAGAAATAAAAATTGCAATTTTTTTTTAGGAGTAGTAGGCTAAGATGTGACGTCATTTGAGGGCGGGTGTCTGGCTTTTTGAGACAAAAACTTATTTTAAAACGCGTGACGTCATTAAGAATAAATCCTAAGCCCCGCCCCCCCCCCCCCCCCCCCCTCCCCTCTCTTAACCTAATGACCTAATTAACCCTAACAGAAATCGCATTTTAAAGAACTGAAACATTTTATTAAACTATATCCGCCATTTAAATAATAAATTCTAACTAAAATAATAAGAGTGTACGGTAAATAATTTACAACAAAAAATTTGCTATAGCCCCCTCTCCCCACCCCATTTTCTCCACGCCTCTGACGTTGAATGTAGCTATGAATTAATCAATTCACGACCGAACGATCACTATGTCAATATCGGTTCACTTCCGTCTTGCGTTTTTGATTAGTGTTGCGTGTTGAAACTAGTGTGAGACTGCGCCAACAGGAAATGTGTAATATTTCAGTTGCTCTAATTAAAGAATATCAACTTACAAATTACAGTTGTTCATAAGTATAGCTATGATGGATTTAATAATATTAATAGGCATTGTTGTATTCCTGATACTGCTGTTTTTACTTTTAGGTTTTATACAGGTAGTGTATTGTATGATATTGCTTTCAATTTGAAATCGACATAAAATATAGTCTACCTACCTTACACCAATTTTCCTATAGCAGCTAAGGTTAGAAATGCAAGGGTGTAATTTGAAAATTATAAACTCCTTCTACTTAGATCTAAATATTTACTTTGCTGTAACTGTTAACAAGGTGTTTACAAAATTAATTTTTAGTAATTTTGAAATGTATTCAAAGAAATTATTGGTTACCATGTTTTGTTGCTTATCAAAATTAAAGTTCCGGGCCCGACGGTCAATACTACAGCTGACATTTTTATGTGATCTCGGCATAACAAAGTGTGGTCAACTCTATGCCTAGCTGTATTTCCTTTTCTAGTTTACATTACGCACCCATCACCCACGTTTTACCTACCGAAAACCCCGTCCTATTGTATTACTTATAGATATAGCTAGTTGAAATATAATAAACCAAAAATGCATACTTATACTGGTGTATGAACGTCTTTAGGCGAAAAGATGATCACCTTATTAGTCCTATTTGTTTGTTATTCTAAAGAATATTTCTCAGCCGGCTACGCCTCGAAGTGAACTTACTCAAAACTCGCAAACAGTCAACGGCCAACAACAAAACTCTAACCTGTCAACGAATCTGCCGGGATCTGAAGAAACCCCTACTGTTCGTCATCGAAAAAATGCACCACCATCTCCATCTGGTAGCAATGTCTTTCCTACGCATGAATGGGACGTTCATGTCACATCATCTCCAGCACAGATTTTTGTTTTGGGTGATCGACGTGAAGAAGTTCAAGGTACTGATATAACACATATCCCAGAGACAAGCTCTACATCAACCGCTTGTGATGGGCTGAGATACAGGACGTTCTTAATGGACAGACAACCACAGCCTAATCCAATACGTAGAGTAGTAGATACACCCACAGGAACTCCCTCGCCTTCTAGCTCTGTAAACTCACGTGAAAATATACATACACTCCCGACTAGCATTAGAAGGGAAACGATGCATGTTTTACAACTCACTTCAGGTTTTTCTTCAACGACCCAATCATCTTCCACCGTTCCTTTATCAACCGGAAACCCACCAGTCGCTACGAGATCCGGGAATTCTACTTCCGGTCAACTTAAAGACGAGAAGAAATACACGATCCCACCTATCGTTAGCGAAGTACCACCGCGTGTACTGACATCTGTGAATACAATACACACGACAACAATTCACCAAAGAGATGAACCTCTCAATGTTCGCGGATCTTCTTCTACGTCGCCATCCTCTTCTGCGGCTCGAGTAACGAGTGGAAACGTCACAGGCGCTACTGGGGGCGTAAGCTCAGAATCTGGCCCAAGTAAAGAAGAGAAGAAATACAAAATTCCACCCATCGCAACAGGAGCATCACCTTGCGTGGTGACACGCCTGCGTGTGGTGCACACTGCTCCACCCCCACCTATGTTTCAGGTGGTACCAACACCAGGACCGTCGGTGATACAGCCTCTTCCGGCTAGACCGGCTCTTCCGGCTAGACCGGCAACGCCTGAACCACCGGCAGCAGAACCAGCTGCACGAACTCGACTCTTTGACCCGTACGTCGAAAACAGGTATATAACCGTTTTTCTTTCATTACATTAATCCCGCTCATTATTTTAACTACACGGGCGCCCACACTACAGATCATAGAGGGGGGGGTGGGGCGGGGGGGGGGGGGGCTCATCATCCATACCAATTGAAAATTGTATATTATTAGAGGGGGAAATTTACAGATTTTTTAAAACAAATTGGAAATTAAATATTTCTTAAGTGTATTATATTTTTAGATTAAATTGGGTGAGTCTTCGGACGGGCTACATCATATAAACCAATAATTGTTTACAACACTCGTTACTATATTCACGAAACAACCTGTAAAACTTGAATAGGCTTTTCCTTCTTCGACATTTCGGCCATATTTAATAACAAAATTGTTACAAAATCATTACTATTTGTATTTTCTGTTACCAGTGAACCGCCGGAGAAGAAACTAGACCTTCGTGGACTTTATTTACGTGAAGCTATGGAAACGTTCTACGATTTCTTTTTCAACATGCAGCAAGGTAAATGTACAGAAACATGACCACCGATTCATATTGCTTTTCTTTATGGATTTGCTTTCATAGACTTTGTCCAGCTAAGGACAAACTACAAGGCAGCAGTTGCTTTTAATTTTGGCAGTTTTTTCTTGGAGTTTGCCGTCCCCAGCTAACGAGCCTCATCTACCAAGGGTTCGAACTCGGGAAATTAGGAATTTGCAATCATAATTAATATACTATCCTGCCCGACCACGTTGTTCACAAATCCTTCATTTGTTAATAAGACTCGTGGACATAGCCTTAATCTGGACTTAGAAAAAAAATATATCTGAAAAGTGGTACAATTCTTGGATGATCAAAAAAATATTTTACACAGAAATTAGGATTTTAAAATCAAATACCCTATTAAATAGTTACTATTTTCTTTAAGTTTAACAGAAAATCTCTACAAGCTGCCTGCTTAAAAGTTGTATCTGACCATCAGTTTAAATTGACCGTTTTAACTTCCTCAGTGTATCAGTCAGGGGGGCGCAGTGAGGATGACAGGTACATTTATGTTGTGACTGGCTATGGGAAGTTCAGCGAAAACAGAAGGCCTAAAATAAAACCAGCAGTTCAGGAATTTATAGACGAAAATGAGATCAGGTACGATAGGTGAACTGTTTCTTCCAGGCATTTTTCTCCGGGGGGGGGGGGGGCACTTGAAATTTTCGGGGGTCGCACACTATTAAAAGTAAGGGTGGCGAAAGATGCGTGGAAGAAACTCTGGACATTTTAAATAAAGTGTTCATGTGTTGATAAATATCATGTCATATTCATCATACCCTGTCATTCATATCGGTTCATAATCCAAAAACTATATCCGTAGCTTTTCCTGTCTCCAGTAAATAGATACATGGGATTATTTTTACAAACTGGCTGCAGCTTTGTTTACAGTGCTAACATAGCTCTAATCAGGGGTGGATTTAACTGTTTCTAAGCGGGCCGTGAAAAAATGAAAACGGCCTATCTGAAGTAAATTTTCATTAACCATTTTTATGCATGAATTCTACGCCACTGGGCATGAAAGAAGGTAAATAGTAACATGAAAAAGTACGCATCACTGGGTAAGATTAGTTTAACAACAAAACTGTTTTAATCAAAATACTAATAGCCTTATTACGGCACCGTCCTGACCAGAGTTTCTTCCAGGCATCTCTTCGGCGGAGGGGGGGTGGAGGGGCAGTCGGCTGGGCAAAGTGCTGACCACACCTTCCTTTCATATGCAGAGGTCAAGAAATATGTGAACCCCACTTCTTCTGCCCAATTAATCGCTAGTTCTAAAATATTTTCTTTACTTTTAGTTTATAGTATACATTAATTTTTCTAATTGCATTGCTATCTCTGAAAGAAACAATGATTATAGTTATATTATAAATATATTTGCTATGAGCCGGTATTTTACTATCCCAAACACCCCACCCACGCAACCAACTTTTCTAATTGTGCACACTGTCCTGGTAAAGGGACCTGAAGTATCCAATTGCAGCTATAAATTTTTCTGCAGGCATAACTGGCTCAATGAAGGACTAGTGATGATCGATTTCTGTGCCGAAGAAGACGAAATTAGTGACTCCGATGACTACGACGATGATGATGATGATGATGAAGAAGAAACCAACAGCGACGATTACGGTGGCGATGTGATGTGACGAAATAAAATGACGAAATAAAATAATATAGGCCGACTGATTTCAAATATCTATTAATATCAGCAAATAAATAATTCGGTTACATTAAAGCTGTTCAATTATTTCTTCTCTTACATTACATGTTACCATTATTGTTGTTATTCTTAGTCGTTGTATCCAGTTTATATATAGGTCTACTTGTCTGTGTAATGCGTATTTGAGATCATATATGTGTTCTATGATTGAGGTCCATATTTTGGTATATATTTGTGTTCTATATGTATGGTTCATGTTTGCAGAGGCGTCGCGAGGCGGGGGCTGGGGGTGCGGACCGCACCGTGTGACACCACTGGGGGGGGGGCTTGACACCAAGAAAAATAATATTTTAAATATATAGAGAAAATGCTTTTTGCTAGTTCAGTTGAAAATTAGTTAGAGTTTTTTTTTTTAGTATTTTAAGTACAAATTGACAATCCCGACAAGTTGGGGGGGGGGGGGGGGCACACAATGACGTAAACAAGCTAACTATGGAGAAAACACAATGCACACCCAGCTATATTAATAACCGACTATGGATAAACATCGTTACTATTAACGTCGCATGCTTAAAAGCTATCTCCCGAGGGGGGGGGGGTGACACCAACTGCTAAATTTACAGAGGAAAATAATAGTTTAGTAGAACATTTTAATAACTAATAGGTCAGTCAACGACTGGGGTAGGGTGACACCATAATGTGCCGCATCGGCTGACACCCGAACTAGCGAAGCTACTGCATGTTTATAATGTATAATTGAGATAATGTTTTGTGGTTTTATGTTTCTAGTGTGTGTTGTTGTTTTTAATATTGGTCTCTGGTGTCAGCTGTTGTGGTAAACAGTAACAACCATCCAACAAAGATCTTTCCTTAGATAAGGGTCTATTATTTAGAGCAATAGCAACATGTCATAGGCAACTAATGACGCTTTACGACTTTAATCTGTGTAAAATAATTGTTGTTTTTCTGACTGAAGCCACTTAACATCGTGTTACAAGCTGAAAATGTGGTTCAACATACAGTATATTCAGCTTAATTGTAAAACCATTTATTATAACAGAATTGTAAAAAAAAAAAACAAATCAGGACAGTCTAGTGTTATTATAATCTTTGATTTAGTTCACAATGTCTGTTTATTTATTAGTTTTATTGTGGATTTGTAACTCAGTTTTAAACCACTTCTAGTGTAGTGATTTTTGGATGTGCATGGGCAGCCTATACAAATGTTGATGACCTAACCTAATCCCAGTAGCGTCGCGAGGGGGGGGGGGGACATATGTCCCCGGATGCCGACCTTAGGGGGCGCCAAAATGGATTGGAAAAATAAATTGAAAGGTTGAGGGGGGTGCAAATCGAAAGTTTGAGGGGGGTGCAAATCGAAAAGTTTGTCCCTGGGCGCCGGGAAGGGTCGCTACGCCTCTGCCTAATCATATAAAACACTGAAATAAAAACCTTATGATGTACGAGCTACAAAACAAGAAATCAAGGAATGTCGCAGAAGAGTGGTGGAATTTTTCGCATTAAAGGTAGAAATGTTTGATATATATATATATATATATATATATATATATATATATATATATATATATATATATATATATATATATATATATATATATATATATATATATATATATATATATATATATATATATATATATATATATATATATATATATATACAATTTTCAATACATTAAGTTAAGATTATCATTACAAACGTTTTTAAACAAATTTTGTATTCATTTTTATTTCGCATTATTGGTTGTTGTGGGGCGAGGGGGGAGGGGCAATATGCTTCTATCCGGGTTAATGAGAATATCTTGCTGAAGAAAACTGATTTTTTTTTTTTGTTCATTTAACCTCTTTCAGTTATTTTTTTTTCCACACGTTTTATTTTTGGTTGTTTTCTTTTATACCTTTTTTACTTTCTCGCATATACGAAGTGTAGAAAAAGTATTGTAATCGTGCAAAAAAGAAATCTCGACGTTTTACACCTCACTGATACGGAAAAACATAATTTTGCAATCTTGTCCGTATGTCTGTGTGTATGTGTGTATCTGTCTTTGTGTCTGTAAACACGATAACTTGAGTACCGTTACAGCTAGGTAGATGAAATTTCATATATAAGTTTTTTATCAAAATCGTAGATCTGTATCAACTTTTGAGCTATTTCCGATAACCGGAAGTGGTACTTTTTTACTTTGAATTTTTCAAAAGCCTATAACTTGAGTACTATTTCAGATAAATAAAATTTCACATGTAAGTAAAAGATCTAATTCTCTACCTTCTATCAAATTTTGAGTAATTTCCGTTGACCGGAAGTAGTAATTTACGCTATTTCCAATTTCTCAAAAAACGCATGTAAATTTATAAAGTACTACAAACAATATTCCGCACTATTATGCATATTTTGTTTTGGCATTCGCTTGGTGCGCAATTCTTTTTTCTACGAGATTCTATTCTATTTTTAAAAGTTTAAGTAATTAAAAATCATGTCTATATTCCGAGTTGCCATCTCACATAAAAATATCGAAGTGTCTACTCGGAATAAGATTTTTCGGCAAAAGATAATTCTGCGCATGCGCAGTGACCTATGGCTAGGGTTAGAATGAGGGTTATGGGTAGGATTAGGGATAGGGATAGGGTTAGGGATAGGATTAGGGCTAGGGTTAGGGATAGGATTAGGGCTAGGGTTAGGGATAGGGATAGGGTTAAGGATAGGATTAGGGTTGGTATTAGGGTTCTGCGGTTGTAAACACACGCATGCGCAGTACCATCGAAAACATCGCCGCTAAGGCTAGTCGTAGTTTCTCTCCATTGCGCATGCGTATCGCATGCGTATCTTATTCCGACTAGAATCGGCCAAATTATTTGAGAAAGTTTCGGGGAGATCACTCCCGGTTTATTTTTAATGTTGTCATTTTGGATTTCCGGAAAGATCAGCGCGTCAAGAGCGCGGCTTTTGGCTAGTGCGGCTAGTGGTGTGGATCTTGACTCTACTCTCTTGACTTACAAGATCTAGATCTAGATCTACTAGACTTCAGCTGCTATAAAAATAACAGACAGGTCGTATGAGACGTATGTAACTACTAACTACAATTCAAAATAATAATTTTTAGGTAGATCTAGATATCTTAGGCCGAGGCCGAAGTATCATAGTATAAAAATAAATAGTAGTAAATACTAATGTAGTACTAAGTAGTAGTACATCTAGGGTAAAGGAGGGCGTTAAGAGCCGTGTGGTATTAAGCCCCAATCAACACCCCACCCCCACAAAACCCCCAATAACACTGCTAATCTACTTCTGAGGTAACAACCACTGCTGTTCTTTGATAACAGAGAAGCAGAGGATTCATTTTATGCAATTTATGACCCACTTGGTCCAATAGGGAGAGGATGAGACAGGATTTAATCCCACTGCTCTTTCCCTAAAACTTCTCATCTCCATAAGATTGTAGGAAAAAAAGTCACAGGAAAAAAAAAAACAGGAAAAAAAAACACAGAAAAAAAGTCACAGGAAAAAAAGTCACAGGAAAAAAAGTCACAAATATATATTAATATTTGCATGATACTTGTTAATACTTTTATGTAGGGTAAAGGAGGGCGTTAAGAGCCGTGTGGTATTAAGCCCCAATCAACACCCCACCCCCACAAAACCCCCAATAACACTGCTAATCTACTTCTGAGGTAACAACCACTGCTGTTCTTTGATAACAGAGAAGCAGAGGATTCATTTTATGTAATTTATGACCCACTTGGTCCAATAGGGAGAGGATGAGACAAGATTTAATCCCACTGCTCTTTCCTTAAAATTTTTCATCTCCATAAAACCATTTTGTGAACTTTTTTTCCAAAAAGACATAACTTGTGAAACTTCACTTTGTAATAAACCAAATGAGTTTTTCAAGCCCATTCTTTGTTCCTGTATTAGAGCATTGGTTGTTGTACATTTTAACACTATTTTTATAGCTATGGCTAGAATAGTTTTATTTTGGTGAATTTTTTTTGCACAGTGATTATTGGTGCCAAAACAAAATGGCCGACATTTGTCCCATTTTACCATGCTATAAAGTTTTTATCATTATTAGAGTAAAACTTGACTGATCATTACCATAATGGTTTTATTTGTTAGATAATAACTAAATCTACACAAATACATTAATTTTGTCCACTAGCTTGCCTGTTTAGAAAAGTTATAACAGATACTGTTATGTGGCTCTTGAAACCCTATGTGCAAGTTTCTCATTTATTAGACCACTGAATATGACACTGGTATAGGAATAGTTAACACAAAATGTATTAATTGTTAAACAGACTTGTGTCTAAATGATAGAAATACTATTCTAACCTGCTAAAAAGTAAAAATTCAGTCATCTGATATTAGCAAGGTAATTTTTATAATGGTACACGTACTTATTACCCCTAAGGGGCAATACAGCCGACTCAGCCCCCACCTGTTTCTAACCAACTATAAAACTTCTAATCTCTTTGTAGGTAACAGTAATAAATGTTCTTAGGTCTCAGCCAATCTGGGGTGGTATGTTATGTAATTTATGACCCTCATGGTCCAGCAGGGAAGTGATCAGACACATTAATACCACTGCTCCCCCCCCTTACAATTTCTTACCCCCATGATACCCAGCCCCCACCAGTTTCTGGCCCACCATCTCTTTGTAGGTAACATGGATTACAGTTACAGATCTCAGACAATCTGGGGTGGCATGTTATGTAATATATGACCTTCATGGTCCAGCAGGGTGGAGAACAAAGGGGAAACCAGTACCACTGCTCTCCCCTCATCATTTCTCACCCCCATGATACCCAGCCCCCACCTGTATCTAACCCACCATAAAACTTATCTCTTTGTAAGTAGCATGGACTTAGTTCTTAGATCTCAGCCAACCAGAGATAGCATCTCCTTATGTAGTTTATGGCCCTCAGGGTCCAGCAAGGAGAACAAAGGGGAAACCAGTACCACTGCTCTCCCCTCAACATTTCTCACCTCCATGTCATGTTATGTAATGTATAGCACACATGGCTTATCAGGGGAAAGCATTAAGGCAGATTAGTTAGTACCAACCCTTTTTACATACAAGAATGTTAACTCTGGACAGCTACACACTAGTATACTAGCTACACACTAGGCATACTAATGTGCCTACTGTAAACTACTAGACTTTAGGCCCTATGTAAACCTGCTATTGTATCAAATGTAGACTGGGCCCATTGGGGCCTAGTGATAGCTAGTATCAGTTAAAGTGTGTGTACACAGCATTAACTATTTTGGGGTTAGAAATTAATTATTTTTATTGCTGAGTTAGTCTAAACTAGGAGATAATAATAATACTTATTGCCCCATTGCCCGGCTCCTTTCGCCCCAAATGCTGATTTTGGGGGTATGACAATAAATGTTCAATTAAACCCATTTAAAGTATATTCAATAGACTTTGTTATTATTTTTATATTGTGTAAGATATGTTAGAATAATTTTGCCATATTTTCATTACTAAATAATTCTTAGATTAGTAGAAATCTTTAAAAATGTACAGGTGCTAAAAAGTGTGGCTCTTAACGCCCTCCTTTACCCTATTAAATATTCAGAGAGTGCAAATTAACTTAGGATTAATTAAATGTAATGTAATGTGTGTAGGCTGTATACGCATAGGAATTTTTATAATTCATCTAAAAATATTTAGTATGAAGTATGTAGATTGTAATTATTTTAAACTTAAGATTAGTAGCGTTTAATAGAATGCTCCAAAGTCCACGGTTTTAATCCTGTTTTTTTTTTAAATACCAACATTAAATTACCGTGAAATGGTAAGTTCGTCTGACTTGCTGCCCTCAACTCATGGCCACAATAGTTATGTTTAGATGTTTAGTTCAACCACCTTTACTGCCCACATTTATCACGCTCGTTACATAACAACACTTAGGATCAAAAAAGAAAGCCGACAAGGTTCAAATGCTGTCATTGACGCATGACGTCAACAACACAAAATATGTTCGGACAATGCCTACTGAGGAGAGGCCGACCAGAGAATAGCCTACGGCGAAATGTGCCTAAATTTTTTTTATAGTTAAATTATCTACCGCGTTTTTAACTAAATACGTAACAAAAGTTGAGATTGTTGTGTAAATTATATTAGAGTATTTTTACTTACAATTGTTATAAACCATAATGCTTTTAACGTCTATAAATAATTTATGCTATAAAAAAATACAACCCACAACAAGAAACATACAAAATTTTACAATTCTAAACAAATAAAAAAAATATTTCTAAAAATATTTTTGTGACTTTTTTTCTGTGACTTTATTTCTGTGACTTTTTTTCCAAAAAATTTTTTCCACTGTGACTTTTTTTCTGTGACTTTTTTTCCTAGCAAAAACTGTGACTTTTTTTCTGTGTTTTTTTTTCCTGTGACTTTTTTTCCGTTTACCCTCCATAAAACCATTTTGTGAACTTTTTTTCCAAATAGACATAACTTGGGGAACTTTACTTTGTAATAAACCAAATGAGTTTTTCAAGCCCATTCTTTGTTCCTGTATTAGAGCATTGGTTGTTGTACATTTTAACACTATTTTTATAGCTATGGCTAGAATAGTTTTATTTTGGTGAATTTTTTTTGCACAGTGATTATTGGTGCCAAAACAAAATGGCCGACATTTGTCCCATTTTACCATGCTATAAAGTTTTTATCATTATCAGAGTAAAACTTGACTGATCATTACCATAATGGTTTTATTTGTTAGATAATAACTAAATCTACATGAATACATTAATGTTGTCCACTAGCTTGCCTGTTTAGAAAAGTTATAACAGATACTGTTATGTGGCTCTTGAAACCCTAAGTGCAAGTTTCTCATTTATTAGACCACTGAATATGACACTGATATAGGAATAGTTAACACAAAATGTATTAATTGTTAAACAAACTTGTGTCTAAATGATAGAAATACAATTCTAACCTGCTAAAAAGTAAAAATTCAGCCATCTGATGTTAGCAAGGTAATTTTTAAAATGGTACATGTATTTATTACCCCTAAGGGGCAATACAGCCGACTCAGCCTCCACCTGTTTCTAACCAACCATAAAACTTCTAATCTCTTTGTAGGTTACAGGAATAAATGCTCTTAGTTCTCAGCCAATCTGGGGTGGTATGTTATGTAATTTATGACCCTCATGGTCCAGCAGGGAAGTAAACAGATACATTAATACCACTGCTCCCCCCTTACAATTTCTTACCCCCATGATACCCAGCCCCCACCAGTTTCTGGCCTACTACAAAACTTCATCTCTTTGTAGGTAACATGGATTACAGTTACAGATCTCAGACAATCTGGGGTGGCATGTTATGTAATATATATATATTAATATATGTAATATATGACCTTCATGGTCTAGCAGGGTGGAGACCAAAGAGGAATCAGTACCACTGCTCTCCCCTCAAATTTCTCACCCCCATGATACCCAGCCCCCACCTGTATCTAACCCACTATAAAACTTATCTCTTTGTAGGTAGCATGGACTTAGTTCTTAGATCTCAGCCAACCAGAGATAGCATCTCCTTATGTAATTTATGGCCCTCAGGGTCCAGCAAGGAGAACAAAGGGGAAACCAGTACCACTGCTCTCCCCTCACAATTTATCACCCCCATGATACCCAGCCCCCACCTGTATCTAACCCACTATAAAACTTATCTCTTTGTAGGTAGCATGGACTTAGTTCTTAGATCTCAGCCAACCAGAGATAGCATCTCCTTATGTAATTTATGGCCCTCAGGGTCCAACAAGGAGAACAAAGGGGAAACCAGTACAACTGCTCTCCCCTCAACATTTCTCACCTCCATGTCATGTTATGTAATGTATAGCACACATGGCTTATCAGGGGAAAGCATTAAGGCAGATTAGTTAGTACCACCCCTTTTTACATACAAGAATGTTAACTCTGGACAGCTACACACTAGTATACTAGCTACACACTAGGCATACTAATGTGCCTACTGTAAACTACTAGACTTTAGGGCTTAGGCCCTATGTACACCTGCAATTGTATCAATTGTAGACTGGGCCCATTGGGGCCTAGTGATAGCTAGTATCAGTTAAAGTGTGTGTACACAGCATTAACAATTTTGGGGTTAGAAATTAATTATTTTTATTGCGGTGTTAGTCTAAACTAGGAGATAATACTTATTGCCCCATTGCCCGGCTCCTTTCACCCCAAATGCTGATTTTGGGGGTATGACAATAAATGTTCAATTAAACCCATTTAAAGTATATTTAATACACTTTGTTATTATTTTTATATTGTGTAAAATATGTTAGAATAATTTTGCCATATTTTCAATACTAAAAAATTCTTAGATTAGTAGAAATCTTTAAAAATGTACAGGTGCTAAAAAGTGTGGCTCTTAACGCCCTCCTTTACCCTATTTTATTTGAATTTGGTAATCTATCGTTTTAGTTTTAGGTACGTTAAATCGCCCGCGGCTAGTATTAGTCTTCATTTATTACTGAAAAGTTTTAATTCAATTGTTTAAAAACAAGTAGGCCTAGGCCTACATAAATGAAACAAGGAAACATTTTTGATATATTTTTCAAAACATAAATCCGAAAATCCTCCTCTAAAATACTCTAAAACTAAATGTGAATAGGCCTAAATATTAGTAAATAAGGTAATCTATCGTTTTGGGTACGTAAAATCGCCCGCAGCTATTTATGTACGAAAACGTTACCTCATTGTCAAGGCTTTAATAGAAGTTTATTGTCATACTTTTGTGTCTAATATTATAGATAAATGAATAATAAACCTAAATCAATGGCTAAATATATCGATATAGGCCAGAAATTAACTTTAAACAGCAGTGTCTGAGAGCAAGATTTGCTATATAAACAGGAGCCATTTGTAAAATAGAGTGGCTTCCCCCTGAATCTGGCGCTAAAAGCTTTTAAAAATAAAACTTAGACAAGATGGCTGCTATAGTAAATGAGCATGGTTGCATCTGTTGGAAACATCGCTAGTCTTCATTTATTACGGAAAAGTTTTAATTCAATTGTTTAAAAACAGGTACATAAATGAATCAAGGAAACATTTTTGAATTTTTTAAAACATAAATCCTACTCAAAATGTGAAATAATTATTAAAATTTAAGGAGTCACCTGTTTTTCACATTACAAATCGCGGGCGATTTTACGTACCCAAAACGATAGATTACCTGAGAATGGTTGCATCTGTTGGAAACATCGCTAGTCTTCATTTATTACGGAAAAGTTTTAATTCAATTGTTTAAAAACAGGTACATAAATGAATCAAGGAAACATTTTTGAATTTTTTAAAACATAAATCCTCCTCAAAATGCGAAATAATTATTAAAATTTAAGGAGTCACCTGTTTTTCACATTACAAATCGCGGGCGATTTTACGTATCCAAAACGATAGATTACCATAATTATTAAAATGGTAATCTATCGTTTTGGGTACGTAAAATCGCCCGCGGCTATTAATGTACGAAAACGTTACCTCATTGTCAAGGCTGTAATAGAAGTATATTGTGATATGTTTGTGTCAAATATTATAGATGAATGAATAATAAACATAAATCAATGGCTAAATATATCAATATAGGCCAGAAATTAACTTTAAACAGCAGTGTCTGCAAGCAAGATTTGCTATATAAACAGCAGCCGTTTGTAGAATAGAGTGACTTCCGCCTGAATCTGGCGCTATAAGTCTATACAAAAAAACTTTAACAAGATGGCTGCTATAGTAAATGAGCATGGTTGCATCAGTTGGAAACATCGCTGGTGTTCATTTATTAGTGAAAAGTTTTAATTCAATTGTTTAAAAACAGGTACATAAATGAAACAAGGAAACATTTTTGTATTTTTCAAAACATAAATCCTCCTCAAATTGTGAAATAATTATTAAAATGTAAGGAGTCACCTGTTTTTCACATTACTAGTCGCGGGCGATTTTACGTACCTAAAACGATAGATTACCTTTTATTTTAATATTTTTGGTTGGAAATCTAACATTTGGACCAATTTGGTAAAACTCCATTTTAAAATTTTAGCGTATTTTATTAGCCGCTTCACATTCACCTCCGATTGAGCATATTTTATTTTTATTATCAAAACAACCAAAGCACACAAACACGTTAGAAAAACACTGGATTAGACTTGCTTGACTAACAATACATACTACATACATCGTCATAGCCTCATCTCAAATCATAGCACATTCAATATTCCAAATTTGGATTTTTCTAAAGTTTTGACAAAAGTAAATTATCAAAAACGAAAACAAAAATTCATAAAGAAATAAGCCCAATGTTTTCCTAGCGTTTTTTCGGTTGTGTTTATAATAATAATAAAATACGCTCAGCTTGAGGTGAACGTGAAACGGGGAATAAAATACGCTAAAATGGAGTTTTACCCGCTTATTTGACTTAAGTAAATTTAAGTTATTCTATTCTGTAGGCCTAATAATTTCAATAGTAATAGCAATAGTCTAATCTTATACTACTAGATCTAATAGTTAATAGTGCTAATCAGGGGCGTAGCGAGGGGGGGGGGGGCGGGGGGTGCGGACCGCACCGGGTGACACCATTTAGGGAGGTGACACCAAGGCAAAAAATAGCAAAATATATAGAGAAAAACTCGAGGGGGGGGTGCAAATCGAAAATTTGAAAGTTTGTCCCTGGGAAGGGTCTCTATGCCTCTGGGGGGGTGACACGATTAAGTGCCGCACCGGGTGACACCCGACCTCGCTACGCCACTGGTGCTAATGGCTAATAGTTAATAGTACAGTAGTAATAACAGGCCTGCCATAAATTAAATGGAATGAACTCTACGCTTTAAAAAGGGAAGATAACTCATTAAAATTTGTCGAGAACTTCATTAGGCCTAGGCTATAGACTTTCTATAGAGTTTAATTATTTTTTTCTACCATCTAATAATCTGTTTATGCCCCTTTACTTTTTAGTACAAATCAGCCTTTGACAACTAGCATAAAAATTTTGCAGTTTCAATATTAATATCTATTTTTAGGTCGCATGCTACCTAGAGAGAAAATGTAGCTATACTATAAACTATACCATAACCCTCAATCTTTAATTGGGGGGGGGGGGATAAAGTTAAGACACGATCTGAACTAGAAGTTGTGTTCATTCTATGACGAATGACTATAGGCCTGCTGAACTCACAGTATTGTTGGAGTTTTCACCTGCGGGCTAGAATACTTAAGCAAGAAATTATGCGAGTGACAAGTTTTGGAAATTTTATTAAAAATTTCAAAAATCTAAAAAAATTCACACTTGACGTTTTCCATAAAAAAAAAAACCCGTCAAAAGGCACTAATACCAATCGTGCTAGCCACGGGTTCAAACTCGGAGCTCTAGGGCTATGAACTTAACTCCCACTGGGTCAACTCTACCACACCCGATGTGCTAGCAAACGATATACTAAGCTTTTATAATCAGAAGATGGCAAATCCCAAAATTTCAGAATGTGTCCTACGGAATTCAAATAATGCTTGGCAATAAGCATAGTCACTTAGCATTTTAATGGCCTATTTAAATCTACTATTTGACTATTTGAGTATTTATCATGTTAATCCCTGTCCCATCAAGACATCACATAGTTCTAAACAGAAAACATGTTGATGACAATAAAAACCGGGTAATTGTAGAGCTATACACATCTTTTTCCGGCTAGAATCTGGCTTCTCTATATCCTGCAGTTACCTTATTTATATTCCTCAATTGGCTTTAATTTCATTACCACAGAATTTTTTAGCTGTTAATTAGTTGGAACTACAACCCAATGTCTTAAACCAGTATATCCCCTACTCACTTAAATTAAGCTTAGTTCTTTTTAATTCGACCATAGTTTTTGTTTTTTACAAATAGACTAATAGCAGGTGTTTATTATTATTCAGTAGCCTGTATGATATTTTGTATTAAAATCTCTAGCCCATATGTTGTCTCTTTTAATATTTAACATGTATTCAATTTAGAGTACTAGCAAAATTAATGTATCATTCCATTTTAAAAAGTATGCAGGTCTTGTTTGAAATCAGAACCTATGTTATAATTATTATGGAGCTGAACATGAGACAATATCATATTTTCATTTTAGAGTTCAAGTCTTAAATTTGTGCACCTTTCTGCTTATAATTTTAAAATGATATTATAAACATTTTCCAAAACATCTTCCGAAATATTTTTATGGCATTTTGCCATACTAATTAAATACCTGTTTTAATTTTTCTTACACGTTTAAATAACATCAATTAACCTTTTGATTTTAGGAAGCAGTCCATTTTAAATCAATTTCACTTCACTAATTTTTAAAATCAGAGTTTTATGATTTATTTATTTTTTTAATGTGCTCTTGCTTAATTTAAATATATCTTGAAGTAGTTTGTGTATCATCTTTTATATGCTTTTATATAGTACTTTTAAAATGTATAGTCAATTGGCTTCATTGTTTTTTGTTGTTTTTTTTTTTTAGCTTAGAGTAATTGACTAAAGATGGATATTCAGCTCCTTAGAAGACCAGTTCCTCACAAAAATTGATGCCCAGCACAAACAATTCATCAGTAAAAATGGAATTTCCTATTGAAATGAAACCGGATATCTTAAATATTCCTTCATTCTCTTCTGAGTCTATGTGTGACATTAAGAATAAAATCAAGTCAGAGATTATTGATGATAAAAGCTTTTTTTTCGAACAAGCGTGTTTTAATGAACTTCAAACTTGTGTTGAAGCAATTACTTACAGAGACTGTTTAAAGTATGGCAATACTTTCACTTGTAACTTGTGTAACAAAAGATATATTTCAATGAAATCTTTTGAAACGCATCTGATGCGGCATTTATCAGGCAAATCGCAAGCAAGTTTAGCTCAGATGGAATCCATTTTAGAGTCCAGAGGCAAAAGAAATAATCGACATGTATTTAAAAATATTGGTAGTAAAGAAATAAAGCCTGCTTTCATTTGTGATGTTTGTGGTAAATCATATATTTGCAAATCTAGTTTGGAAATACATTATGCCAGGCACACAAAATTAAAGAATTACGATTGTTATAAATGTCGTCAAGTATTTTATAATGCAGGTTCTTTGAAAGAACATATTTTTTTGCACTCAGTTTACACTAACTCTTTCAAAAGTGGCCTTCCTGTTGTTTGTGACTTGTGCAACCAACATTTAAATAAAATGGATTGTATCAAAAAGCATATGCAGAAGCATTTAACAGAGAAGCCTCAACCTAAAAAAATATCTTTGAAGAAAAGAAAGAGAAAAAGGCCTTGCATTTGCGATATTTGTGGGAAAATATATTCCTGTGACAGCCTTTTAAAACAACATTATGTTGTGCACACAAAAGTGAAACTTTATCTTTGTGATGTATGTGGTAAATCTTATGCTTCTAAAACTTGTTTAAATAACCATTATAAATTGCATTCAAATTCAATGCAAAAAAAATACACTTGTGTGCAGTGTGGTTCAACTTTTTTAAACATACATTGTTTATATAAACATCGACGTTTGCATATAAAAGTAAAAGCTCACAAATGTAATGAGTGTGATAAAACTTTTTCTATTCCTGCATATTTAAGAATACATATCCGTCGTGTCCACACAAAAGATAATCCTTTTCCTTGTGAGCATTGTGATAAATCTTTTTTTTTTAAGAGTATGCTAAATCGACACTTAGCTGTGCATACTACAGCACAGCCTTTTCTGTGTACTATTTGTGGGAAATTATTTAAACGTAAAACCAGTTTGAGAGACCATTTCCTGCGACATAAAAAAAGAAATCAGGTGCCGGATGATTGATGCTTAATGGTGTTATAATATAAGATCCAGTTGTGCATATTGTAAGAAAAGTCTTACATGTTTAATCCTGAAGGTTGATTGATTGTGGATAAATAAGTTGACATAATCTTGTGTAAATGATTGCTAATCTTGCTTGCAAATTATGTGAAAGGAACATTTTTTTTATTCTTTTAGAGATTCAACAAAAGTCTCACTCTATAATTGTCTCTTCAGACATTTACAGTTATTCAAGGACTGGTTTCTGCAGCTATTAATTTTCTTTGAACATTGCCTTAAAACAAGCCTTTTGTATATATTTTTTATGCCAAATTATTTTCTAAATAAATCTGTATGTTTTACACATGATGAAATAGTAAAGACCTTTGCAGGATAACTTTCTTTCAGCAGTTTGTGAGAATGTAGTAGAATGGGTTTTTTTATGGACAGCTTTTTTAAAACCCATGGAACAATGATGTAAATTATTGTAATTAGTACTTTGTGCTTATTACATTCCTATCTCACTTGACACTTTTAATATGACATTATTTGTTCTAAGAAGAATTTTTAATACGATTGTTTAAGTGAGCATGTTTGTCACATGACAAGATACAAGGAGGTTTTCCCAGACAAAGTAATTGTGTTGAAGTTAGAATTAGGGTTTGGCTGGAGCCATTGTGATGATAGAAGCTAATAGAAAGTTTTGTACTCTGTAGATGGCTAACACAATAACATCTAAGGATATGATTTATATTAAACTTGTTTTGCTGCTGGTTCTTTTTTTAAGTTTCATGATTTTGTATACAGACTTTAGGGCGGTAGAAAATTCAAAGTATCATCATATATTTAAAATGTTAACAGTATGACAGATTTTTATAAGTAACAATTTTTAAAATGGTCTTATTGAATTTTATAGTAATATATTTTTTAATATGTGTACTGTACAATAAAATTTTATTTAGTGTTTTTTCTTGTTGACAATGATTCTGAGTTGTTTTTTTTGTTTGTTGTGTATGTCTGCTTAAAAAAAATCTTTATTTATTCACATTGTGGACAACTAGTTAGATTTTACTTAACATAGAAGTTTAAATTATTTTATTTCTTGTAAATGTATTTTTACATGATGCTAATACAAGTTAGGTTCAGCATCGGTTTAAAAAAATTCATCACCTTCACTTTTATAAAGATTGAGCAATGTCTAAGATTAGGAAGTTTTTAGAACAAGTGCTTTTGACAAATATTGAGAACCTTCTCAAATGAGGGGTTAAAAATAGAATTAGAATACTTTTTTCAACCATTTACAGTAGTGAGCAGAACTGAAAGTGGAGATGGTAGAGCCATGTGCTAACCATGAGAGCAGACATATTAGCGAGGCAGGACTGCTCTCAGATGGATACCATAGTCAAGAGATAATAAAGCGAGCAAAAGTTGAAAATTAGAGGCATAACATTCCGACAGGCAAAGGGTATAGCTAGAGACAGCCTCGTACGCAAATGGGCCTTGAGAGATGTGTGATGGTTCTAAGTCACTCTATGCAACAGCGTCCCCCTCCTTGTGGTTATTAGCTGTCTTCATTAAATCCCCTCTAAATAGTTGAGGTTCGCGTTTGTGGAAGCCACCAAATAATGTAAAATGTGACACACACCATGTCCAATCCACAAGTAAACGTTTCATGTTTCAGACCACACCCCGCCACCATCTGCCTGGACGTCTTTATCAGATTATTCTCTGAGTTGTTATCCAGCTTTCATAATATGAGACCTATGTTATGCTAAGTCAAACCATATGTACATCATCATCCCCTCTGCTGGAGTATGGGATGCCAATAAAAAAAATTCTTTCCATGTGCCATTTTCTCAATTTGACTCCAGGTGTAGCTCGTCTATGTAGTGTAACCCTCGAGTGTGCCCCATCTTCTTTCACCGATTTCTTCGTAAGCAGAAAGTTGCCCTGTTCAGAGTTTCTTCCAGGCATCTCTTCGAAGAAGGTCTACCCCCCCCCCCCCCCCCCCGAACGAGATGGATTTTATATAGTAAACATACACTTTTACTAGTGTCCGCCGCCCCCCCCCCAACATTTCAAAAGCCCCCCCCCCCCCCCCCCCCCCGAGAAAAAAGTCTGGAAGAAACAACGGCCCTGTTCTTTCCAATAGGGCTGCATTGCTGATCGTGTTGGTCCAGCGGATCCTGAGCATTTGGTTATGAAGGTCTGAACTTCATGTCGCTCTTTGGCATCCTCCAAGTATCTACTCCTTACAACAGAATTGATGCTACATCGGAGTTTTAAACTGGCGCCCCTGGGAGCATAGATGTTCTTTAGCTGTGCTATGTCAGTCTCCTGCTGCATCTGATGTTGGTTGGTTGTAGGAGAGGTGCGCGAGGTCATCTGCAAGTCTGTTGTTTGCACAGTCCGGTTGCGCTTCTAAGTTCTTTGGTGGTTGTCTTATTATACAGATGCCGAGAATGAAGATGAATTCGTGACAACAGGCATCTTTGGCAGAGGTTCTTCCAGGCATCTCTTCCGGAGGGCATTCCCCCCCCCCCCCGAAAATTTCAAGTGCCCCCCCCCCCCCCCCCCCCCCCCCCCCCGTAGAAAAAAGTCTGGAGGAAGCACTGATCTTTGGCGGATTCTACTATTTATTCTAGTCCGTATCTGAAAACTGTAAGAGTTGCCCCCCGTTGACAATTCGACGGGACGGTGATTCTCATAAAATGAAGACAATTACTGCAAGCACAATGTACGTTTCTACCTAATGTCTTCGTTAGCACAGTCTTTTACCACACTGTTGTGTGCTGATGAAGACGTCTCGAAACGTCCATTGTAACACCCCCCCCCCCCCCTCCCCTCCATCCATTCGGACCAAAATGTCTTAAATAAACCCTAATTCAGTTTGATTGGGAAAGCGTTTCGTCCGCGATCAACCTATATTAATTATATATGATTAGGGGTCGTCTATAAATGACGTCACACACATTATCTCGAGTTTTAGAAAACTGTTTAAATAATAGGAATTGATTAAAAGACTCTGCTGACAGAGTTCAGGCAAGATTTTGGAAAAATATCGTATTTTACGAAAAATTCAACTTCTATTTTTAGGGGGGGGGGGTGATGGCTGAGGTGTGACGTCATTTTAGGGGGGAGGTCTGGCTTTTTGTGACGGAGGGGGGGGGGGGGTAAAAATCGTAAAAAAAAAAGCGTGACGTGATTTATGGGTGACCCCTTAACCTATATTAATAATATAATAGCGTATACTATAGATATATATTATGCAGGCCCAAAGGCGCGGGGGTGCTGACCGCACCGGGTGACACCATTTAGGGGGGGTGACACAAAGAAAAAAAATGGCAAGATTTATAGAATAAATGTTTTTACCAGTTCAATGAATGGTTAATTAGAGTTTAAAAGTAGTTTAAGTCCATAATTACGATCCCGATGAGGGGGGGGGGTGTGTCACCATGACGTAAACATGCAAACTATAGAGAATACAATGCTACACTCAGCTGTTTTAACAACCGACTATAGATAAACATCATTAGTATTAAATGTGAAAATTTTAAAGCTTTTAACGGGGGGGGGGGGGGGGGAAATGACACCAACTGCAAAATTTAATTTACAGATAAAATTAAGAGGGGGGGGGGTGACACAATGAGGTGACACACTACTTAGCTACGCCACTGTGTAGGCCTATACGCTTACTTATACTTATTGTATACGTTTTGTTGGAGTAGGATCTTTATCTTATTTTTTATTTTTCTCTAAATTCTTAATTTATAAAATATTTTTCTTACTTCCCCCCCCCCCCTTCCACTTTGGATTTTTTTGTTGCTGGTGTTGTTTTTGTTACCTATTTTAATGTTGTCAATTAGAAATTCCATACCAAATTAGCGGATGTGACAAAGAGCGCGGCTTTAGTTTGTGGTGAGACTGTAGCTACATTATTAATTACGTTTATTGATTTATTGTCTAATAATTATTAAGTCCACCTAGATTTCAGCTAGGTATCATTTACTACATAGCCCGCTAGACTCTAATAACCATAATTCCCAATAATCGTTTAGATCTTAAGTCTTAATCTAGATCTAGCTAGGATTCGTAGCTGGATTTCTAGATCGAGATCTACTCATTTATTTTTAAAAGATAAGGGAGTGCACTCTAAAAAAAATTCTAGATCTATATCTGATATCTAGAATCTAAATATCTAGAATCTAGTATAACTTTTACTTTTGACAGTCTTTCTGTTTAATAATAGGAATAAAAAATATAATTAATTAGAATTAGGCCTATAGGCCTAATAGTATTATTAATGAAATGAGGCTACTATAATTTACTATAAAATTATTTAAAATATAAAAAATAACTTTTATTAGGGGGGGCCTACTAATTTATTAGGCTAAAAGTTGGGATGATTGAAGAATGAAGATACATACTACATACATACCTGCCTTCACCCACCTCCTTGTTGTACTAGATTTAACTAGATCTAGTTACTTAAGTTACTTAGATCTAGATCTAGTAGTTACTAGTAATTACCTACTAGAAAATCTACCTGGAGTCAGTAGATTTAAGACTAGGAGGTAGTGGTAAGAAGTTTTGAGTATTTTATCCCAAAATTACAAAAGCTGAAATATGATTTAGTTAAAAGGGGCATTAAGCATTCCATTGGTACCAAATTTATATTTCTGGCTCTTTAGGAGAGAAATAAAAATTAATTTAAAATCTAGGATCTTATATAAGCCATTATAAGCTCTGTAAAAAATGAAGCAAGTGGGAAACAAAAATGAAAATTTTATAAAATAGGCCAATTTGCAAAGAATTTTTTAAATTCTTATGAAAAATGATTAAACAGAGATGGGGGTGGGGGCTCTTTTATGTAGGCCTCCTACATTTGCATTAATTAATGTCCAGGCTGGTTTCTGTTTGATGGTAGGCCTATGCTTTATTTTTTTTTAAGTACTTTTTTTCATTGACTATAGGAAAAAAACACATGGCAGATGAAGTTCTAATTCTTTAAAAATTCATAAATAATGTATTTGTAAATTTTAATCACAATTGCTTTATAAACTAAGAACCACGAGTGGTTTCATTAATTCAATTTGTTGAGTTTTTTTAGCAGGCAAATGTTTATTAAAATTAAGTTGATTTAGAACATAGGCCTACTAGAGTTAGCATTGACATTAGCAAGCCATGTGTGTATTTTCGTTAACTACCACTAAACCAATGCCCCCCCCCCACCCCCCTTTCTTTTTCTTTAAAAGAAAATTCTATTATTGAACACTGGTATTAAAAATCTCCCAAAAATTGTTTGGGTAGTACTACGGTGGGCATTGTATGTTAAAGAAATCAACATGCCTGGCTTAACTGATTCATTTTGTTGTCACCAGATATCTAATGAAAGTAAGATTGTAGTGCACTTAGTGCACTTTTCTGGCTTTATTCCATTAAAATTGTTTTCAATTTTTTGTTTTCTCAGGTTAACTTTTAAAAAAAAATGTAAGCTGACATTAAGCAGTATTTCGATGTAGCCTAGAGAATAGTTATAGATAATAACTAGAGGCCTACTTAACACAATACCTACGCTTGTATGTTTGCTACTGTGTATACTGTCATTCTACTTATGTTTAATTATTAATTATTTTTGACTTAATACATTTATGTTCCTCTTTTTGGCTCTGAATTCCCCTTTTTAGGTATGAGTGTTCCTACCTATGGTTGCCAGGGCTAGGCATGTCTGTAGTTTTCTCAGCAGTGATATTTGTATTATATTATTAATTCAACTGTGGTTGATTGCATTCACGAAGTTGTCTATTTGGGATAAAAATCTCCTTTTAAAATATTATTTATAAATACAATATTTTACGGGTGAGTTTGTTCTGCCATGCTGAATGTGTACACTGAACGTCTTCATTTATTTCATATCCTATTAGTTAATTGTGCTTAAGAATAAAGCACACAGTTGTAAACAATGGCCTAATTTTATTTGCTTAATTCACATTCAGAGAACTATTTTATGAAGGGAGGGGGGGGGGGGGGCATAACGTATAAACTGCTTGTACTAAATAAATAGAAGGCCTAACGTGTGCGACCATTGGCTTACTTTGTCATATCAGTTTAACCGATTAAATGTAAAAAAAAAAGTCTGTTACTTGACAAATTCTTCTTGCATTTTATCTCCACCCGATTGGTAAGATATCTATTTAATTTACATTGAAACAACATTTGATTTGTATTAGCAGCAAATAGATTCTACAACAGACAATTAGGCATTAGAATTTTTCTTTTGTTTGACTAGTATAAAAATTTGGCTATTCTGCATTAACGGAATTTAGTTATTAATAAACTAAGCTTGTGATTTTTACCCTGCAATCATCCAATTGTTGTAATTGATCCAATTAATAAATATGTAAAAAGAATTATGTAATTTTAACATAAACTTGCGTGCTAAAAAAAATGTTTTCTCTTGATGTGTTCACTGCCTCAAAATGTCATTCCCCCTACCATGACCCTTTCATCATCTGTGCGCGCCCCCCCCCCCCCCCCCCCCCAAGCTTTGTAAAATTGTTAGGCATTAAGATATAATCTAATTGAAATCAGCTTTATAGATGCGGAAAACACATTAGGCCCTACTAGTGCAAAAAATTATCTGTACAAATATATATTTGTCTAAACCTAACATTTTTCTCTCTGATTGGTCTTGTTTTTATTGGTGTTTTTTTTCCTTTTAGATGTGAGTTCATTTTAATAAAACCCTTAAAACAATAATACATTAAATGTTAGATAATTATAATGTATTTAAACTAAACTCAATCAACGATAATTACTGTTTCTCTGCTATGGTTTTGACATTTGCTGTGACATTTTTTTTTCTCCAAAACGGTTAAGAACCATTTTTTAAAAATATTGTTCATAAATCAGTATTTGTAATTCAAATGGAAGGTACTGAAATGTTTCATTCTCTTACTCAGGATAGACAACAGTGGGTTTTATCAGCACTTTAGATTACAAGTGTGATTCCAGACTTCAGGGGGACCCCAGATAAACTTGATTCATTTATGACATGGATTTTTCAATTGACATGAAACCGGATGTCTCAAATATACATTTTGATACTGACCCCACATGTGAACTTAATGATCGAATTAAGTCCGAAATTAACGATGATGTTAACTCTTCTTTGGAAGACACCTATTTCACTGGCCTTCAAGTTTCTTTCAAAACAGTCGTTGACAGAGTTGTTCATACTGTTGTTTGCAACTTGTGCAACAGATCATATAACAGATTGACTATTTTAGAAAATCATCTTTATAAACATTTAACAGAGAAGAAGCAGCGTAAAGTTTATAAAAACGAAAAGCCTTACATTTGTAATGTTTGTGGTAAACAGTTTTCTTTCAGTAGTCATTTGCAACAACATTATCTTGTGCATACTCAAGTTAAACTTTATGATTGTGATACTTGTGGTAGATCATTCTCTTTCAAAAGTAATTTGAAAAAGCATTATGTTGTGCATTCAGATGTGAAACTTCATGCTTGTAGTGAGTGTAATAAGTCATTTTCTACAAAACGTTACTTAAAAATACATTTCAATCGTGTTCATGTGAAGGAGAATCCTTTTCCTTGTGGAATTTGTGGCAAGACATTTTCTCTAAACAGCCAATTAAAACGACATTTACCTATGCACACAAACAAAATTGTCAGCTGCTGTGATGTTTGTGGTAAAAAATGTTCAACTCTGGGTCATTTAAAACTGCATTATGTTGTCCATAGAGAAATGAAGCCTTGTCTTTGCACTGTATGTGGCAAAGCATTTTCTTCAGATAATAGCTTAAGACAGCATTATATTGTTCACACAAAAAAATTAAATGATCAATTACATAGTGTTGTTTGCAATTTGTGTAACAAAAGTTTTGATAAAATAGATGTTTTAAAATCCCATCTGTCTAAGCATTTGGCTGAGAATTTAAATTTCATAAATGAATGCAGATCCTTGAAGAACACTGATGACCAAACTCATACATCTGTGCATCCTGATATAAAGCCCTATTTGTGATGTTTTCTTTTCTTCAGATGACCATTTAAAACATTATTTTATACATTAAAAATGGAACCTTTTCTATGTGATATCTGTGAGAAATCTTGTTCAACAATCTGTAATTTAAAATATCTTGTTCATACTTAAGTCAAGGATTATGATCGTGGTGTTTGCGGTAGATCATTTTCTTTTAAAAGTAATTTTACTAAGCATAAACATGCTGTTCATTTAATAGTTAAACTTAACACAGTGTGGTAAAGCATTTTCTACTGAACGTTATTTAAAAAAATACATTATAACCATGTTCATATAAAAGATAATCCTTTGCCTTGTGAAATTTGTGGTGAATCATTTTCTTTAAATGGCCACTTAACAGTACATTTGCTTATGCATACAAAAGAAAAGCCTTACTTTTGTGATATTTGTGGTATATCATTTAAACTAAAATAGACATTGGCAAAGCACAATCTTTTACTTATTAATAGGGAACATGCATTTTTGTTATCTGGTTTTAATTAATTTTTTATTTAAACTGGTAGCAAATAGTGCCTATAATAGAAAACATTCATTCTAATACTATTTCTATTACTACTATTGTTGGTAATTGAATGGACATCAGCAGGGGTAGATTGTCTTTGTCCAAGAGAATCAGGAAATTTTAAAAGAGGCCCCTAACCCTAGACTAAATTGAATTTTAATTGTGCTTTTTAGGTCATTGCACACCTTGGAATGAAGGAATAGTATTAGAAATGTTAAAATGCAGAAGTACTAACAAATTTTTGTTTTTAAAATCATGGTTCTTTTTTTAATGTGCCCAAACTAACAGAGTAACACTGTATCTACCACAAAACAGCACTATCTTTCCTACATGTCGTCATTCCATGCATTTTTATATCATTCACATCTAACTACTCTTGAAAACCCAACTCATGACATCTATCTTATTTTCTAATTCTCACAAAATGGCAGATATGAGGTCACCTGCATAGCTTATACAAATATTTTAGAAATCAAAAACAATTTTGAACCTTTATGGAATTTAGTCAGAATGTGCATCATGACCTTCCTTTTATTATACTTTATAGCCAAAGACCCTCCCTCCTCTACAACTTTTGCCTTTTATATAATAGATATACATGACATTTGATCCTTGTATACTAATTAATTACAGTTCTTTAAAAGAATTTTTTAAACTTTTTATGATATAATTAATTAGCTTGATTTTTTTAATATCTGCTCAGGTTAAATGACAGCAGGTGGATAATCAATTCTTTAAAAAAAACAGTGGGTTGCTGACTTCAGTTGATGCCAAAAACAAACATAATTCATCGATAAAAATGGAATTTCCTATTGAAATAAAACCAGATGTCTTAAATATTTCTCCATACCCTTCTGAATCTCTTTGTGACATTAAAAATCTAATTAAATCAGAGATTGATGATTTTACAGAACTTCAAAATTGTGTTGAAACAATTACTTACAACAACTATTTAAAGTATGGCAATACTTTAACTTGTAACTTGTGTAACAAAAAATATGTTTCAATGAAATTTTTGAACACACATTTGAGGCAGCATTTATCAGATACGTCACTGGCTAGCTTAGCTCAGATGGAATCTATTTTAGAATCAAGAGGCAAAAGACAGAGTCGACATGTAATTAAAAATAGTAGTAGTAAAAAAACAAAGACCCTTTTCATTTGTGATGTTTGTGGTAAATCTTATACACGCAAATCTAGTTTGAACATACATTATACCAAGCATAAAAAACTGATGAACTATGATTGTTATGTTTGCCATAAAGTGTTTTATAGCTCATTTGCTTTAAAAGAACATATTTTTTTGCACTCAATTTTCACTAATTCTTTAAAAAGTGGTCTTCCTGTTGTTTGCAACTTGTGTAACCAACATTTTTTAAAAATGGTTAATATAAAGCAGCATATGTATATGCATTTAACAGAGAAACCTCAACCTAAAACAAAACCTAAAAAAAGGGAAAGAAAGAGGAAAGAGCCTTGCGTTTGTGACATTTGTGGAAAAGTATATTCTCATGAACGCCTTCTTAAAAAACATTATGTTGTGCACTCTAAAGTAAAGCCTTATCTTTGTGATATTTGTGGTAAATCTTATGCTTCTATTAGTTATTTAAATGATCATTATAGAGGGCATTCTAATTCCATCAAGAAACAACACACTTGTGAGCAATGTGGTTTAGGATTTTTACACAGACATGCTTTATATAGACATCGTTTTGTGCATCTAAAAGAAAACACTTTCAAATGTGTAGAGTGTGATAAATCCTTTTCTGCTCCTACTTATTTAAAAATACATAATCTTCGTACCCATATAAAAGATAAAGTTTTTCCTTGTGAGCACTGTAATAAATCTTTTTTTTTAAAGTATATGCTTCAACGGCATATGATTGTACATACAACAGCAAGACCATGTCTTTGCACTATTTGTGGGAAATTATTTAAACGTAAATCCAGTCTGCGAGACCATCTCCTCCGGCATAAAAAAAGAAATCAGGTGCCTCTTAGTTGATGTCTTTGTTATTTAAACACCATGTGCATAAAGATCCTTATATTATTGATCCTGATGGTAAATTAATTTTGTTTAATGGTTACAGAGTATATAAATTTACATAATCTTGTGTAAACAATTGCAAAGAAAAAGTCCCAATCTTGTTAGTATATTTTGTGTCCATGTCCACTGAAAAGAAAAAGAGAATATTACTAAATGTGTTTATAGACAATTAATTTTGATCAAATCCTGGCATCGTTTTCCATAAGAGTGAGTTGAAAATGCATCATGTGTGTGAAAATATGAGAATTTCTTTAATTTCATGGCAATTTTTTTGTAAATGAATCTGTTTAAATTTTGCACATAATAAGGAAGAATCATGATGGTTAATTTTGTTCAAGCAAGAATCCTTTTTTTTATGTTAGTTGACTGATTTGCTTTTGTGTTCATCTCTTTAAAAAATAAGGATCAACCACAATGTAATGTTAATAATACTTTGTACTTTTGTTGTAGCATTTCTCTCTTCACTCTATTAAATTTGAAATGTACTAATTGACTGTGTGTTAAATTGAACATGATTACTGCTGCACAATAGGGTATTGATGTTTTTCCTGCTGACAATATTGTGTCCTGCCATGATTTCATTGTGGCAGTCTAGGTTAGGGATGGGTTGGAGGCATTGTGGTGATAGCAGGTTGCTAATAGCAGCCAATAAAAATTGTAGCACTCAACTCCCATTAGAAGCTGATGCGTATTTACTGAAATATTAATAGGCTATATATGTTACAACCATTTTTTTTTTAGTAGTCTTGGTTTTAAGACCTTACTTTTAAATGAATGTTGATCTCTCAAACCCACTTTTTAAAAATTGTTCCACAACTTTTTATCCTGCTTTTTACTTTTAGAACTTTTAGTAGGCTCTCAGTCTCATGCTTACTTATTATTTAATTGTAAATTAAATTATAATAATAATATACATTATTCTCCTGTTCAAAGTTATTTTTTCTATTAATATTGATTTTTTGGTTGTTGTGAATGTTAGCTTTAGGTGGTCTCCACTTTGAATATGTGCAAAATACTACACAAAAAGGAAAAATCTAAATTATAAATGGTAATCAATACCTTAGTCACTATTATATCTCTTTGGTTGGGATTTGCTACTGCATTTATGACTTTAATATTATGTAATAATACTAATACAACAAAAAATAACTTAAGATAGTATACTTAGTCACCTTGAGTTCTATTAAATACATGCATTTTGTAAAGAAATGCACAAACAGTGGAATGAAAATATTGGTAACTTGCAAAAATAGAAATAAAAAGTAGTAATATGCAAGTTATATGCAGAATTACAGGTTCATTGTTAGGCACAATTTGCAAGACAATTTTTTAATATTTTATTTAGTTAGATCATTTTGGTTTTACACTTGTCTGGGTTGTTCTTTCTGGGCCTCATGAGAGAAATTATTTTAAAATAAAGAATCAATTCAACACACTAAAAAAAAATCAGCAATAAAACTCTCTCTTTATCTTTAATCTTACTTTGTATTTAGTCAATAGTCATACTTATGGAACCATTAAAAAGGTTTAGTCCCTATTGTAATTTTTTTTTAAAATATAAACAATATTAAAATTATCTGTATTTTTAAAAAAATACTTTTATTTCCCATCTTAATATCTCTTCTGGGCAACTTCTATACCACTACCACATTCACCACACATCGCTAAATATCAACAATACTGTAAACTTTTATGTTTATCCTCAATATTCTTACTATTTTAAAAAAAAACAGCTGAGAAAGATGGAAATTCCAAACATTGTCACTTGGCCAGCCTGTTCAACAAGAGGCAAATAATGCTATGGCACAGCGTGAACATAATCTTAGTCCCTGTACTTAGTTAACTAAATCCTAAAATAGTTATTTAGACCTTTGCTATTTAAAATATTTAATATTCCTACAAACAATTGATATTGAATTGAAGGCAGTGATAAAATTTTTAGGTGACTAATGATTAGAAAACAAGTGGGTTCATGGCTTAAAGTGATGCCCAAAACATTTTCCATTGATAAAATGGAATTTCCTATTGAAATGAAGCCAAATATCTTAAATATTTTACCACCTGAATCAAAATGTGAAATTAATAATATAATTAAATCAGAGATTGATGGTGATAAGAAAAGCATTTTTTTCGAACAAACACGTTTTAAGAAACTTCAAAATTGTGTTAAAACAATTACTTACAGAGACTATTTAAATTATGGCAATACTTTTACTTGTAACTTGTGTAACAAAAGATATATTTCAATGAAATCCATTGAAACGCATCTGATGCGACATTTATCAGAGACATCACTGTCTGGCTTTGCTCAAATGGAATCCAATTTAAAATTCAGAATCAAAAGAAAGTATCAACGAGGGGAAAAAAATATTGGAGGTAAAAAAAATAAGAGAGTAAAAATAAAGACCCCTTGGATTTGTGATGTTTGTGGTAAATCATTTAATTTCAAATCTTGTTTGCAAATTCATTATACCAAACATACAAAACTGAAGAAGTATCGCTGTGACTGTGGCAAAGAATTTGTTAGTAAGGATTATTATTTTAAAGGAACATACTGTTTTGTACTCAATTTACAGTAACTCTTGAAAAGTGGTCTTCCTGTTGTTTGTGACTTATGTAACCAACATTTTTTTAAAATGTTTAATATAAAACAGCATATGTATATGCATTTAAGAGATAAGTCTCATTTTAAAATTGTTCAAAGAGATTCATTAAAGAAAAGTAACCAAAAAAAGACATTCATTTGTGAAGTTTGCGAGAAATCATATTCCTCAAAATATTGCTTAAAACACCACTACTCTATGCACACACAAGTGAAGCCTTATCTTTGTGATGTATCTGGTAGATCTTATGTTTCAAAAATATATATGAATCTACATTATATAGAGCATTCAGGCAAGAAACAGTACACATGTGAGGATTGTTGTGTATCTTTTTTTTAACAGACCTGCTTTTAAAAAAAAAACATCGTATTGTGCATATAAAAGAGAAAACTCATAAATGTAATGAGTGTGGTAAATCATTTTCTGTTCCTGCCTATTTAAAAATGCATCATCGTCGTGTCCATACAAAAGATAATCATTTTCCTTGTGAGCATTGTGAAAAATCATTTTGTTTTAAGAGTTTGTTAAAATGGCACTTAACTGTGCATACAAAAGCTAGACCTTTTCTTTGTACTAATTGTGGGAAATCATTTAAACAAAAAACCAGTCTGCGTGAACATTTCCTGATACATAAAAGGAGAAATTAGGTGCCTCTTGATTGATGTCTTTTCTTAAAACTGCTAATAGATTAACATGTGCATAAGGAGACTTGGATCCTGGTGCTAAATTCATTTTTTGAATAGTACATAGACATAAATTATTGTAATTTGCTAAGCCAAAATTTTGTTTGCAAACTGCATTACAAATTTGGTGAAAATTGCTGGGTTTTTTTTTTTTTTTCTTTTGTGACTTGGCAGAAGGCTCACTTTGAGTGTTTTCATAGCGAATTGATTTTAATAACAACTTTGCATCTTTTACCTTCATCAATGGTTATTCGAAAAAGCATTTTTTTTGTGAAATGTCATGGCAAATTATTTTGTTAATCCACCTTTTTATATTTTGCAATTTGATTGTCCTAAAGCAAGAGTTTTTTGACTGATTTGCCTCTGTGTTCACCACTTTCAAAAATATTAACTAACCACAATCTAAGTTAAAATACTTTGTACCTATCTCTGATGCTATAAGTATAAGACACAGTATTGCTTGAATTATAACAGTAATTTTTGTTTACTTGAACATGATTTTGGCAGCACCATAGGCATGATTGCAGTAGTTTGGGCTTGGGTTGAGCCATGCTGGTAATAGCTGCCAATAGAAACTTCAGCACTCACCACAGGGCTAACTTAAATGTACTGAAAAGTTAATATATATAATTATGTTTTTTTTTTTACAATCTTAGTTTGTATGAATGTGGATCTCTCTAACCCCCTTGTTTGCATTTTTGTTGTTGCTGCATTGTTAGTTTCACAACTTTTGATTCTGCTTTAACTTGAAGACCCTTAGGTGACATTTAATGCGAAGGTATTATCTAAGTGTAAATACACATTATTCTCATACACAGAGTTATTCTCTCTGATATTGATTTATTTATTTTTTTGCATGTTGGCTTTGGGTTGTCTGGGCCTATAAAATGTGCAAAATTGTTCACATGTTTTGCAATTATAATAAAGTAATATTAGACAAAATATGTAATATTTACAAGTTAATAACATTATTTCTAAGATTGTTAACAACTTTATTTTTATGTTCAAAGATTTTATTTTAAAAAGGCATAAGATTATATGATGATGATGTATAAACCTTCATATTTCATTTTTTTTTAAAATTGTTTTACTTTCTTTCAGTTATAGTTATAATTATGGTTATTTGCATCACATTGACGTGCTGATTAAGATTTCTTACGTATGTGCTCTTGGAAGAATTTTTTAAAATTATAAAACTTGTATACTAAAATATTGATTCAGATGATTTTTCCCTATTATTAGTTACAGTTTGTTTGCAATTGTGTTTACAATAAATAGTTTTGAAGTGGGTTTTTTTGTTTTTTTCTGATTTGCAATTTAGTTGTTATAGAGTAAGAGCTAAAAATATCTTAAGTATTTAGAATCTAGAGGAGTGTTTCTTCCATACTTTTTTCTCCGGGGGGGGGGGGGGGGGGGGGGGGGGGGGGGGGGACGGACACTGTTAAAAGTATATATATATATTTTCTATATAAATTTCATTTCGTTCGGGGGGCGGTAGGCTTTTTTTCAAGCTTAAAGCAAATACTAATTAAATAGGCTATTGTTCACTTATATTAAGTAGATACAAACTTCTATATGTTTTACAAATTTACAAAGTT